TTAGAACTACTGAGTTATATCCACAGTTCCTATATTCTCTTAATAAACATCTTAATAGTAATAAACCACACATGGTAAATATTACTCTTGACTGCTTTTTCCTTCCTTCCTTCCTTCCTTCCTTCCTTCCTTCCTTCCTTCCTTCCTTCCTTCCTTCCTCCCTCCCTCCCTCCCTCCCTCCCTTCCTCTTTCTTTCTTTCTTTCTTTCTTTCTTTCTTTCTTTCTTTCTTTCTTTCTTTCTTTCTTTCTTTCTTTCTTTCTCTCATTTTTAGTTGGTCTCTTAAGGAAATGTTTTGGACTTAAACAAAATAAACAACTTCCTGAAAAGGCCAACTGTTTAATCTAAGTGGCAGGTGGGTGTTCACAATTCCTGCAATGTTTCAGTGTGAAGCGTTCTCCAGCAATGTCAGGTGTATATGTTCACACACAGCAGTGCTGTCTGGGGGAAGGGCTGGTGTAGGTTTCCCATGGCAGAGTCTGATGTAAAATGTTAGTATGAAAAACTGAGAATGGTCACCCTGGGAAATTTAGTTGTATTTCCTCCTGACTGTCCACTGTACTCTTGATTCTAAGTCCTTTTCTGAGTTCCTGCACATTCAACGAGAGATCAGAGCTCTGACCTTACAAGCATCCCCTGGATCCAAGGTTCATGAATTTGTCAATTTGGAACTAAGCGTGCCTTTCTCCCCGCACAGAAACCAAGAAAAAGAAGGAAATGAAATGACACCCATATTCTGTGCTTGAAAGTCTACTGATAGCTGCTTAGGGGAGACCAAGCCTGTTGCTTTTGTCTTGGGGAACTGACTCTGTCACCATGAAGGTCAGAAGCAGCTGGATGCTGACTGACAGACGAAATTATTGCTATGTCTGATTGACAGCTCACACCCTGTATCTCTAGGAAGATGACCTCAGATGTCAGCGTCTGGCTTCACCCAGTCCTGCAGATAAAGACAGGGTCACCTATGACCATATGAAATGAACTAGACTTTTAGCCCTAGCCCGTAGCTCCATGGAAAGGGTTCTTTCTAGACTATATAAATGCACTCAGCTCCCAAAGCAGACTGACCAGTGCTTTCCATGAGAGCACAAAGTTCAGTTTCCTTGTTTTCCTTGAGCCCGAGATTGGTGACAAATCCATCCCTGCTGAGACACTCAGGAAGTTCAAGGAGCAGTGGTATTTCTACGTACTGAACATCAGAGCTTGAGAGAAGGTTGAAGTGGCAGGAGACAGAAAAGAACCCTCAGAATTTGTTGGTAGCTTCTGGGACTTTCTAGGGTGCCATGTTATCACCACAGTGCTTTCTAGATACAGTGTGTGACACACTAACAAAGCTCCTCCAGACGCTGCTAAATTTAAATCATGGCCTGTGCCTTAATAGTTCTCTTTCTTTCTGAAAGGGTTGTTCGATCCCCCCAAAGGGGTCATGACCTACAGGTTGAGAACCACTGCACTAGGCTATCTCCTCAGCCCTTAATAGTATTTCTTATTAAGGTAGGCGGTGGTGGCCCACTCCTTTAATCCCAGCACTTAGGAGGCAGAGGCAGGTGGATCTCTGTAAGTTCGAGGCCAGCCTGGTCTATAAAGCAAGTTCCAGGATAGTCAGCCAGGACTGTTACACAGAGAAACCCTGTCTCAAAAAAAAAATACTATTTTTTTTTTATTATAGGCTAAATGATGTGTGACTAGGGATATAACTCAGTTGGTAGAGTGCTTGCCTAGCGTGTACAAAGGTAATCCTAGCCCTCATGAGGTACTTTTTAAAAAAGTGTTAGGATATCGTGGGGGTCGGAGGCAGGCCAGTCTCTATGAGTTCAAGGCCAGGCTAGTCTACATATTGAGCTTCTGGCCAGCCAGGATTTGCACTTTTATATTATTATTATGTGTGTATATGTGTTTTGTGTGGGTGTGGGGGGGGGGCGGGCATTCATGTGCCATGGTGTGCATGTGAAAATCAGAGGACAACTTTGGGGACTTAGTTCTCTCTTTGTGGGTTCTGGGGATCAAACTGAGTTGTTAGGCTTGCTTAGCCACCTTGCCAGCCCTCATGGTATTTATAGACCCTGGGTCTAAATCAACATTCACACACTGAATTTATATGCCATGTATTTTAATCTCTCCTTTAATCTAGAGTAACGTCGTGTGTGTGTGTGTGTGTGTGTGTGTGTGTGTGTGTGTGTGTGTGTTTCATTTAGCTTTTCTTTTAGCTGTAGTAGGTGGAAATTGAACTGCAGAGCCTCAGTTATGCCAAGCAAGCATTCTACCACCGAGTGCTACTGTCATACTGTGGCTTTTACTTCTTTGTCTACTTCCCGCCAGAGTGCAAGCTCCTGAGGACCAAGTACTTACCTATTTTGTATACTGTGCCTTGTGGCCTGAGATAGTGCTGGGAGCACAGTACTCACTCAATGAATGTGTGTCTATTGGATGAACAAAGATCAACATACAAGTGACCCAGTTAGTTATCCACAGATCTTCTCTACACGGCAGAGCAGAACATGGCAGAGAATTAACTTTTGTTGTTCTTTGAGATGGGGGTCTCTCTTTTATATAGCTCTGGAACTCACTATATAGACCAGGTTGGCCTTGAACTCACAGAGATCCACCTGCCTCTGCATCCTGAGTGCTGAGATTAAAGGTGTGTGCCACCATACCCAGCAACATTTTTTTTGTTTTTGTTTTTGAGACAAGGTTTCAGGTTGTCCAGACTGGCCTCAAATTTGCTATGTAGCCAAAAATGCAATAACCTGGAACTTCTGATACCTCTGCTTTCACCTCTCAAGGGCTGGGGTTACAGGCTCCGGCCACCATGCCTGGTTTTATGCTGGGGATCGAACCAAGGGCATCATGCATCCTAGGCAAGTAACTACCAACTGACTCATATCCTCAACTCCAACAAATTATTTCTTTGGGCTTGGTTTGTAGCAGAGAAAGAGTAAAATGAGCTGGATGTCTATCACATAAAGGATTAATGAGAGGAATGGATTTCTCTGCAGCTTTAAGTAAGAAAAAGGCCACTTTGTCTCAGGAAGGAGTGACTCCAGACACATAAGGAAAACAGGATGGTGCTGAGCAAGGGATAGCAGTTGACATTATAGTAGAAGAAGAATGTGTTGTGTTTATGAACTGGCCCAGATACAGACTTGAGAAGGATACTCTGGTCTTTGGGAGGAAACCTGTGACTTCTGTGTCTTTGTGGCATAGAACTTTCAAAAAAGAGAAATGTTTGGGGATGGGGATACAGTTCAGCTTCCTGACCACCATCTGCAAAGTCCTGCTTTGATCTTCAGCACCACAGAAAACAGCATGGTGGTGCATACCTGTATTCCTAGCCCTTGGGAAATGGAGGCTGGAAGATGCTAAGTTGAAGGTCGTCTTTGGCTACATATTGAGTCCAGGACCAGCATGGGCTACATGAGGCTTTGACAAAATACCAATCAAGGGCCAGCAAGATGGCAAGCACTTGCTGCCAAGCCTGGAGATCTAAATTCAATCCTAGAAATTTATGTGGTGGAAGGAGAAAACTGACTTCTATAAGACACTCATGCATGCATGCACGCATGCACGCATGCACGCACGCACGCACCCTATAAACCAAAAACCAAGCAAAACCACAACTAACCAACCAAGCAAAGGGGATGTTTGGAGCCGCCTCTCTAGCCCTGTGGGAGAGCAGACATTGTTCTGTGATGTCAAATCAGGCAAGAATCACAAGTAAGGAGCAGCCAGGGAACAGTAATAGGGTGGTTTCCTTAAGGACATGGCATTTTAGGCTGGACCATGAGGATCCTGGAAGGGGTGCAGAAAGATGCTCCAGGAAAGGGCAGAAGCCTGTGCAGACAGCAGCACTGTGAAGGAGAGGAGAGACCCCAAGTGTCGTCCTCTTACCTTTGCTTGGTGTTCGATTTTGTAGGCAGTCTGTTGAAACTGGCGAATCTCTCGGATAATATGGGAGATCTGCGGGAAGGCAGGGGAGTTTTAGAATAGTCTGCTCTCTCATGCTGCCTAGTGGATGAAAAGGGTCATCGGTAGCTATGGTTGAAGTCACACTGCCTCTTGAAAAACTCCACTGGCTTTCTTTACACCACCCACCTGTCTGTTGGGATAACTGTGCTAATGTGTGTGTGCATGTTGTGTGACTGAGGAAACTCTCTCAGTCAGGGCCACAGACTTCCCAACACCACTACAACCAAACCCCAGCTGCCTGTCAAAGTGAAAGACTTGTGGGTGTCTAATGGGTGCATGCCAGGATGTGAAGCATAAGGGCTTCCCTCTATCACCAAGATGGAGCTTCTCATTTATGTTTGAAAGGCACGCTTTTCATGAATGTGTAAGCCCATTTTGCAAAAATGGGTGCAAATAGAGGCTCTCTGTTTGGGATGAGTGAGAGACGTGGATGTCCAGAAGTCCTGTGCCTACTCAGAGGGGTCTTCTTGGGTCCTCTCAACCTCATGTTCTGGATCTTTGGGAGCAGATCTGAAACTTTCTTTCTTAGGTGGTGGTGTTGCAGAATGATTTTTCTTTAGTTATACAAAACAAGCATTTCTGTGGACATTAAAGGGTGGGATGTGAGGAAAGGTGTGGGATGTGAGGTCAGACCCAGCATTCAGAACCGGCTCTTCTTTTCACATGTAGAGGGCCTTGAGCTGGTCTCTTGACCTTCCCCATCCTTCCCTGTAGGGAGGGTGCTGAGCTAACGTGGGAAAGGAAGAGAACACAGGGATAATGTCATTAGTGTCAGTCAGTTTTTACTGGTGGCCTTCCACTGGGTGTACTTGGAACAGGGGCAGGCAGAACAGGCTGTGCTGGGCAGTGTCTGGGTGGCTCAGTCTGGAGTCGTGCCCCCATCCATCTACCCAGGGAAACATACCATCCTCATCTTGGAGAAGTTGACCAGGCCGTCCTCTGTGTAATTGGGTGTCCCCTCCTCGATGAAGGCCAAGTCAGTGAGGTACATCCCCAGGTAAGGGACACAGGGTGGGTCACAACTTGGAAACAAATGGCATCCACAAAAGTTTTTCACTTAAGGAAAGGAACTTCTGCTAAGAACAGAATACCCTGCATGCAGACTCTGCCTGGCTAGAGGCAAAGGGATTTCTAGTTACGAAGAAACATGGGGCACATTCAAGCTTGCCTAGACTGCAAGCCAGGCTGGAGGGTGGGAGAGTGTGGAACAGCCTGGACCCTCACGCACAGGCTGCGGGGAAGGGGGTCTTACTTGTATTTCTTCCCTCTGTGACCCAAAATGCCTTTCTTTACTTCTCTGGTGTCTGCCCAGTGGAGCTCACCAGCTCTTCCCAGCCTCCTCCCAGTTCACTGTGTTTTCCACTGTTACTCTATGTTCGGTCACCTCTAGGAAGGCTGGGCCACCCACACCCAAGTTCCAGCAGTCACTCAGTGTAGCATCCCCAAGACCTGTCCTCTTGCCACCTAGGTTTAGGGGCCAAAGCAGGAAACCCTGGCTGGTCCTCTGATCACCTTCCTGGAAGTGTCTTCTGGGAAGGGTGGGTGATTCCCAGGGTCTATGGTTACAAGAGATGAGATCCTGGTGTGATGGACCAGGCCTCTGATGTGTGGCTCTGAGCAGGGACTCCTTGCCTGTACCATGGCAACTTTTCTGGTACCTTGGGAGGGTGCAGGGGAAGGATTAATGGGGTTGGTGATGGAGTGAGTGGCCATTATCCTCCCTCCTCCCTTCAGCAGCTTCAGGGGACTCCTGAGACAGTGCTCTACAATTTCCTCTCAGCTCAGTGCCGGGATGGCAGAGGAATTGTTCCTCAGGCCATTTGACACCCCTGCCATGCTGGAGGAAAGTGAGGTATAGACCTTGAACTAATCCTCCTGTCTCCATTTCCCCTGTGCTGAGATTAAAGGTGTGTACTGTCACATCTGATTGCTGTTGTTTTTGCTTTTTTGGGAGTGGGTCTCTCTACATAGCCTTGGCTGTCCTGACCATCACACCTGATTTTATGTGGTGCTGGGGATCGAACTCAGTGCCTCTTGAAAGCTAAAGTGATCACTCTACCAACTGAGCTACATTCCCAGCTCAAGAAATGACACTCTAAACTGCCTAAGTGGTCATCAATAGATAAGTATCTAGTAAGATTGCTCTCGAACAAAGATAACCGCATTGTCCCATTCTTAAGACTTAATCCAAATGGGGTTGTCAGTCACTTGGACAGGAAAATGCTTTTCAGGAAGCTGTTCCAGAGAGCTTTAGAAAGAGTGTGAAGCCCACCTAACCATGTAGGTCACCACACTGGTCCCTTTGGCCACGGTTCGCTCTCATCCCTCTGAGCACGTGTCTTTATAATGAACTCTATATATCTTCCACACTGCACTGAGTATCCTGCCTGAGATCTTTTGGTGGAGATCTCTAGGACCAGGAAGCTGAGGAGAGTCCAGAGTAAGAGCCCAGCGACAACAGGCTGAAAAAGATTCCAGGGACGATTGAATGGGGCTGAGGACCCACACAGGAGGGCCGCTGCAGGACTCTCTGGGTGTGTCATTATTTCTGTCTGAAGACTGTTGTCAATCATCTTCTGCTTTCTGGCCCTTTTCTGATGAAACAGACTCCCCAGCATCACTGGACAAGGTACGTTCTCCAGCTCCACAGGGCAGATCTGCCTTACATAAAGATCTTGGTTCCCAGAAGCCCCCTAAGCCCTCTGCCCTGTGTCCCAGGCAGCGGAGGGTTCTAGGGGAGGCACTTACACAGATAACCTGAAAGGGAAGACAGTCAGGAGAGGGACTCAGACAGAATGGGAGCCACGGAGACAGTTAGGTAGCAGTAGTGGCTGCGGTGGATGAGGAAGCCGTGTGAAGGAGGCAGATGGAGCAGCGCCCAGAGGCAGACGGACAGTTGGTGAATGCACAGTGGGGCAGCTCCGCACAAGCACAGTCCACAGGGGCTCCTGGGAGCCCAGGCGGAGGAGAGACGGCCGGACAGCACAGATGGGTTCAACATCTGTCTGAGGACATAAACAAAGTGGAGATGGTCAAGGCGATGGCACACTGAGCTAGTGAGGGATGGACAAGAAGTAGGGCAGGAAGGAAACATGAAGAGGCAGCAGGAGAGGCTGGCTGGTAAGAGGGGGTGAGCAGGGCATTCCAGCCAAAGTCAAGGGCTGGAAGTGTTGGCCGTCCCATGGCCATGTGCAGTGACCTCCACTGGGGCTCTTATTGGCTGTGGTCAAGAGATCTCGTATGGAAGGGAGGAGAGTATTCCTGGAAGCTATAGGGACCCAGCATCTCCGAGGTCCATTGAGGAGCCAGCCAGCCAGCCAGCCAGCAGAGAGACAGGGACAAATGGGGTGGGGCCTACTATGGAAGCCTGAGGAAAGCATTGCTAGGGAGCAATAAAAGCAGAACTTTGTCTTTTCAGAGTCCACGTCTCATGAACGTGCAGCCGAAGTGAGCTGAGTCATGGCTTCCTTGTCAGAGGTACCCAAACCTCATGAGAGAGTGCCCAAGGCAGACTGAGGCCAGCTCAGGCCAAATCCAGGTTCTAATGCCATGTTCACGTGACCTTGGCATAGCCACTAGGTCCCCATCTTTTGTCTAGAAAGACAGGATGGAAAGAGCTGCCTTAGGGTGGGGGTTCACAATGTCTGGAAATGTTTCTGGTAGTCTAAGAGGAGAGATGTCATTAGCATCCCATGGGGTGAGGCCAGGGGTGCACCTAGAAATCCCACAATGCATAGGCAATTGTGGGACTGAACACAGAACCATCCTGGACCAACTGACAACAGTGCTGGGGTTGAGAAACCCACTTCCCAGGCAGTATCAATGGGGTTCAGTAGCAACGGTCAGGGAGGTACCCTGCAAACTGTAAGGTGATGTTATCAACATCGGTAAAATGTATTTCTTTGATTCTAAGACGCAACTGTTAGTAATGTACTCACTCATTTTTTTTTGTTTGTTTTGCTTTTTTGTTTTTTGAGACAGGGTTTCTCTGTGTAGTTTTGGTGCCTGTCCTGGATCTCACTCTGTAGACTACCAGGCTGGCCTCTAACTCACAGAGATCCACCTGCCTCTGCCTCCCGAGTGCTGGGATTAAAGGCATGCGCCACCACCGCCCCGCATACTCACTCATTTTGATGACTGTTTCTCATGAACAAGAAACACAACCGCACTAAATAAACTGACTTGACACGCCAGTTATTGGAGTTATTAAAATGGAAAATTGCATTTAAGAATCAAGAAATCTGGCACCAACTCTGCGGTCAATGACAGCTAAGCTGCTCTGGAATTTCTCTGGTAAATAACGGAGGGCAAAGCTGACCCATTGCTGGGATCTGGAGAGTCTATGGGTCTCAATGGCAGGGAGAGGGACAGGCAGACCTCCTGCGTGGACAGGATGTGGCGAGAAGAGGCCTCTGTAACGCGGTCTACAATTTTAAACACGACAATGATGAAGATGCTTTACTTACTTTTTCAGAGCTTCTCTGAGGTTCTTAAATCTGCCCTCTGACGACACAAGCTTTTGGAGCTTGTCAATCAAAGCTTTCGTCTAGAAGGAACCAGAAGCATTTACTAAGATTCAATACACATGCGGGTCTCAAGTCCCAGGCTCCGGCCTATGATCCAACATGCTGACCTGAGGGTTCCAGGCCACATTTGGATTTGGGGACTTTCTGTGCCTGGCAACCTCACCCGTGATCTCCTTAGGACTTAGACTTGACCCCTGTCATATGTTCCTCTCTTCACATACATCTCTTAGAACACCAAAGTGAGTAATGACCCTGGAAACTGGTAAGCTCCGGAGAACTGATGATTCAGAAGGACTTGGTGGGTGACTTGAGGGGGCCTGCATTTAGAGCAGGAAAGAACTAAGAGTGTTCATGGTCATGATTGTTTCTTTCAGTGCTGGGGACTGAACCTGGGGATGTTGCCCTGCCACTGAGCTGTACGCCAGCCTTTACGATCTTTCCATGAGTTAGACTGAATGGTTCTGACCATTTTTTTTTTCCACACCTTCACTTTGATGGGCCAAGAATGCTATCCGAGTTCGAGAATTGAGGAAAGGGACGGCAGAGGAGCTGATCATCCAAGAAAGGCCTGGGTGGAAAGGATGAAATCCTTGGCAAAGGATATGTGAAATGATCAGCCAGGCCTGGGCTACATGAGAGCAGGGCAGAGTGTGGGCAGCTGGGTTTGTCTGGCAAGAACAGCTACATCCCCAGGGGAGTGCACTGCCCTGGGTCTCTCTCTGTGTTCCTTTCCCTGTCTGGTCTATGGGATGTCTCTTTGAGGCCCTCAGTTCCCTCACTTATTATTATTTTTTATTTCTTAAGATTTGTTTATTCATGTATTTTTATGTAATTTGCATGTAGGCCTGCATGACAGAAGAGGATATCAGAGAGAAGAGGGCACCAGATCTCATTACAGATGGTTGTGAGCCACCATGTGGTTGATGGGAATTGAACTCAGGACCTCTGGAAAAGCAGCTAGTGCTCTTAACCACTGAGCCATCTTTCCAGCCTCCCAATTCCCTCATTTATGAAAGAATGGGAGGGATTAGTTTTTCCTTTCTAGACATGGCCTTCAAAATCCAGAATGTAGCTGAGAAACTGTGCTGAGGACAGCCATGCATCACAAGACTGGGAGTATTAATCATCCCTAGAGGGACACAGTCACAGGCCGTGGTGTGTGCAGTCACAGAACATGACAGTGTGAGTTTTCATGCTGATGGATGTTCAGTGTGTATCCTTTGAGGGGGAAGAGAAGATAGGGGCATTGGTTGGTTGGCTCCTTAGCTAGAAGGAGAGGGAACATTGGTGTTTAGATTGACCCTGCTCAAAGCACAAATGCATTCTGACCTGATGACAGAGCCGTGTGACAGAAGGACTGAATCCATACCGAGCTAAGGCAGTTGACTCTGAGTTTCCTTTAGAATTGGCTTTCAGCACCCTGGCAAAGCCCACATTCCCAGGTCAATCTATTTTTTTTCCCCCGAGACAGGGTTTCTCTGTGTAGCTTTGGAGCCTTTCTTGGAACTCACTCTGTAGCTCAGGCTGGCCTCGAACTCACAGGGATACACCTGCCTCTGCCTTCCAAGTGCTGGGATTAAAGGCATGTATCACCACCGCCCGGCCACACAGGCCAGTCTTTACCAGGGTCTTGGTGACTACCTGGACCAGCCCTTCTGAGGATGGTACCCTTCTCCTCTCCATATCCACTCATCTGCAGAGGAATGACCCAAGGGGGATTTGGGTCAGATGTGGGGATTTAGCACCAAATCTGGGGCCTCCTCAGCCTCTGTCACCCACACTCAGCATACACAAGAGCAAATCCCCATTCCTCAGATATTCCCTAAGGGAAACACTAGGTCAGATAATGGTAGATTTGCGAAGAGAGAAGCTAGATCACAAGGCTTAGTCAATGTAGTTCTGGCTAAAGAGGTACCCATACTTTAAGGTCATGTACATGTAAACAGGCTGTGTGTGTGTGTGTGTGTGTGTGTGTGTGTGTGTGTGTGTGTGTGCATGTGCGTGTGCGTGTGCGTGTGTGTGTGATTTGTAGGTGTATGTGGAGGTCAGAGGACATGCCTCAAGAGTCCTTCTACCATGGGCTCAGGGGTTGAACTCAGGTCACCAGGCTTAAACTTTACCCATTTTACCTACCACACCATCTCACTGGCCCTGTGTAGGCTATTTCAGATGCATGGGGAAAAAACTCTAGCTCTGAGCAGGGCACAGTTTGATTCCTTCCACAGCCTCGTGCCTACTGTATACACGGATCCTCTTTGGGCTGCCACACTCTATCCAGGATAGAGTTTGGGAGATCATGAAGTTTTTCCATTGTGTTTCACTTTGAAAGCCAGGTCACATGCCTAGGCTGGGCCAGGAGCTTCCATCTTTAATGCTCCCTGGGGTGCCAGGCCCCTGGATCTTGAGGCTTTATGGCTGAATGTGGACACTAGTGGGAAGGAAAGGGGGACGCTTTAGATATGTCACTGGAATCAAGGACCAAGCACAGAGCCTGCGTCAGGAAGAAAGATGCTCCTGTGGCCTCCAAAATACCTCCCCTTCCTGCTTATCAAACAGAAAACATCAAGTGATGAAGAATGTTTCCTCCCAAAGAGATCAAGACATATTGTGAGCCGAAGGCAGGTTTGTGTTCCTACAGATACAACTTCCCTGGGGTGAGGAACCACAGGCCCATCCCTCATAGCTGCTGTCCTGGAGAGCCACATCAGACACTTCCCCAAGGGACAGAGATTATTTGAAAGATGACAGGTAAGGGAACTGAAATCAGAAAGGAGAAACAAAAAACTTCAAAGTCCGCTTGACTCTCCTGTCGGGTCGGAGTGGACTTGATGTCATGCTTTAGTGAATTGGGCTGACACATGGAAGAAAGTGATACAAACAAGACTGTGTTTCAGGGTCTGTAGGAAATGTGGCCATCTTGGTGTGTCACAAGAGTCCACAGACTGCCTGCAGAGAGACAGATAAGGAACTTGGCTTTCGTTGGCAGGGCTGTGGACATGCCCTTCCAGAAGCCGTTGGAGTCAAGCACAGTGTCGATGCATAACTACAGCACAGGCTGGAGAGGTCTGGAAAGGTTGGAGAAGCCGTCCAGCTCAGTCTGCATCTGAAGCTGAGCCCTGTATGTGTGGCTAGAGGCATCTTTGACTTTTATTTGACCAGGCCTGCTGGCTTCTGGTTCTGAATGATGTCCTAGAATGCAGGCCAGGCCACATACATTAACTGCTCTTGGAAGAGAATGGAAGATTTCAGAATGGCCATGGTGTGTCCCCATATCCCCCAACTCCATGAGGAGAGTGATGCTGAAGAATGTGGCCAAGAAATACAGCATGTGCATTCTGGGAAGAGTTTAGTAGGGCAGGAAGTGAAGCCTAGTCTGGAGGATCTGTGGGAAGGGTGCCATCATCCAACAGTACAAGGAGGGAGGAGTAAGATACTAACCTGGAATGGGCTCCCTATAACCCTGTCTGAACCTTGACAAGCCACAGTGACTCAGAAGACTTCGTGCTTTTGCAGGTCTACCCCCGCCCCCTCGTTTATGACAGTATGTGACTGTGTAGCCAGTTGTTCTCGAAGCTCCCAGATTCCATTCTTTCCTGGAGTTGCTCCCACAGCCCTAACTCTGGGCACCCAATGCGCCAATAAGGAGGAGGTCCAGCCTCCCTGAGGTGTAAGGGAGTGAGTGGTCCTACAGACTCCACAGCTCAGCTGTAAACAGGGCCAGAGAAGGACAGAAGAGTGAGCATCCCAACTCGTTTCTGGCTTGGCTACTTATCGAAGTAGGAAGAGTTATGGAGCTGATGCCTGCTAGTGGGTAAGATTACTACCTGCTACCGGCTGGAGGAAGATAACGAGAAACAGGCGATAAAGAGAAAAAATGGAGGGGTACAGAACTAGAGTGCCGCAAACAGGCCTCTTGGCAGTGTTGGGTGCTGCAAGGCTCTCTCAGTTGAAAGACCACAGACACCACTGTCACATTATAGGTGCCTTTAGGGGCTTGCTTATCTCTGATGGGGCTTGTCTATCCTCCTGCAGACATGCAAACCAGGGTTGGGGTACCTACCAAGTTCACCAAGGAAGTGCTGAAGTGTCTCAGAGAATGCTCTGCTTATGAGCTGTCCTTCAGGACCCTAGCGCAGAGAACTTTATCACCCCAAAAGATTCAGCTTATGAAGTTACTACTCTTGTCCCAAACCAAGAAGAAGACTATCACTACCAATAATGGCTTCCTCCCAGCTCCCACTGTGGAGTCTTAATTGCCCAAGAAGGAACTGAAGTTCCACAGGTCCACTGGAAATGTGGATCCTCAGCTCAGTTCTTTGTTCACATTCTTGGGTTCCGGTTTCCCTGCCCCCACCCCCAGCCCAGGCCCGCCTGGCAGCAGTGCCAGCTTCCTGCCCGCACCTGCTTAGAAACTTTGAGCCATGTCTTTTTGAGCCGGAAGATCGCACTGCGGTTCATGGAGGAGGTGATCTCCAGCACGGCATTGTAGTTGTGTAGGCAGCGGCATATGTCCGCCACAGCTACCCACTTCTCAATGGCGCTCACCCTTGCGTTGATGTCCTCATTTCGGATAATTTCTGAAGCAATCAAGTTACTGATCTTTAAGCCAATGCAATAAGACAGGGAAAAAGTAAGGGGCATAAGTAGTGTAAAGATAATAAATCACCATTATTTGCAGACTCAATTTCTTGTTAAAAGTCCCCAAAACAATAAACTGGAAAACTGTCAGAACAAAGGCTTAATATAAAAAGGAGACATTTTCCTATAAGTCAGTGATTATCAATTAAAAACACAGTGAAGCTGAGTATGGAGGTATGCACCTGTAATTCCAGCACCTGGGAGGTAGAGGCAGGAGGATTCCCAAGTTTGAGGCCAGCCTGAGCTACATAGTAAAACTTTACCTCAATAAAATGAAATAAAAACAAACAAGTAAATATAATGACGAAGATTCATCACCAAAATCACAAGAGATCTGTGAATTATCCTGGAATTTAAGTTAATGAAAACCACGTAGGTTGTTGCATGGAAAAAAAGGTTATCAAAAGATGTAAAAGGCTTAAAGAGATCATATTGCCAAATGGTAATGTAAGTAGCATGTTTTCATAACTAACCCATGAGTTCAATGTAAACCAATTAAACATCCAATGGAAATTTCTTTGGAACTTAACAGAGTGATTCTAAAGTTCATCTGGGAGAATAAGCAGTTATGACAAGCCCAGCTCTGAGGGAACTTTCCATCATATTCTCTTCTGGAATAGGACACACAGTTGGTCTCACATATGCAGAAGACCAGATCTCCTTGGAATCCTGCACCCCGCCAACAATGACAATCACACAAACAAATCACATGTGAGTTAGAACTGGAGTGGCTAACAGGGTAGAAGCTGGGGCCCAAACATCAGGGGACTGGAATGGCAAGGAGCTGGGGAGGCTAGAAATGTCCACTTTCCCTGCATATCACCTTGAATCTATAGTATTTTAAAGTAGAAAGTAAATGAAGTCATATAGTACCTAAATATATATGGATGAATGCTGTGGGATGGTCTGTATGTCAAATGTGTTGCTGATTGGTCAATGAATAAATCACTGATTGGCCCGTGGCCAGGCAGGAAGTGTAGGCGGGACAAGGAGGAGAATAGAGCTGGGAAGTGGAAGGCTGAGTCAGAGAGACACTGCCAGCCGCCATGATGACAAACAGCATGTGAAGTACCGGTAAGCCACGAGCCATGTGGCAAGGTATAGACTAATAGAAATGGATTAATTTAAGCTGTAAGAACAGTTAACAAGAAGCCTGCCACGGCCATACAGTTTGAAACCAATATAAATCTCTGTGTTTACTTGGTCGGGTTTGAGCGGCTTGGGACTGGCAGGTGAGAGAGATTTGTCCTGACTGTGGGCCAGGCAGGAAAACTCTAGCAGGTGCTGTGGGATGGTCTGTATGTCAAATGTGTTGCTGATTGGTCAATGAATAAATCACTGATTGGCAGTGGCCAGGCAGGAAGTATAGGCGGGACTAACAGAGAGGAAAATTGAGAGAACAGGAAGCTGGGAGGGGGACACTGCGAGCCGCCATCAGGACAAGGAAGATGTAAAGTACCGGTAAGCCACAAGCCATGTGGCAAGGTATAGATTAATAGAAATGGATTAATTTAAGCTGTAAGAACAGTTAGCAAGAAGCCTGCCACGGCCATACAGTTTGAAACCAATATAAGTCTCTGTGTTTACTTGATCGGGTTTGAGCGTCTTGGGACTGGCGGGTGAGAGAAATTTGCCCTGACTGTGGACCAGGCAGAAAAACTCTAGCAACAAATGGCGCCCAACGTGGGGTAAGAGTTTCCACCTAAAACCTGAGAAGAAAGATTCTAAAATGGAGCCAAAAACAGTTCCTAGTTGTCTCTTTCAAGTTAGCGGCAGCCTGCCGGTTTGACCTACTGGCGGGTTCCTAGCGTGCGTGCTTGCTCGACCTGCCATATGGCGGGAATGAGGTCTCTGCAAGTGGCACATTAAGCTGCTTGGTGAATTTAGCCTTTGCTAGTACAAAACAAAAAAAGAGGTTTCTGGGCGACACGCTGCTTGGATAAAAGCATAGACCCACGATAGCTCCCAGAGCTGGCGGAAAACTACAGTACTGCCGCCATGTTGGGAAGCTGAGGTGGGCGGAGCCAGCAGCCACAGCTGCTGCAGCTTAAAGCAATAGATTCACAATAAGACAGATTCAGATGTAATAGTTTAAAATGTGTGTAAAATATACGTAGGCTTGAAAGAGACAAAAAAAAGGTGATATATACAGTATAGAAACAAATACATAGTTTTAAAAAATAAAGTCTTTAAAGAGACAGTAAAATTAATATAAAAAATAAGCCACGTGAAGATGAATATTACACAGAGAATCTGGATTGTGTTGTCTTTGGGATTCTTAACTACAGAGAGATATTTGATTGTAAAGGAAGCTGAGTTAAACCAATATGTATATTTTAAAGATACTTTGACTTCAAAATTTGGATGTAAGGATATGTTGCTTTGGAAAAGAGTCTCTTTTGTTTCCACAGAAAGCAAGAGGCTATGGATTTGTTCCAGATTAAGACACATCAGGTTTGACCAGCCAAGACCACCTGAAAGGTCTCCGATGACACCATGGCCCAGATGATCCAACATCCAGAACCGTTTCAAGGCAACTGGCTCAGAAGATACAGCCTCACGGACTACTCCATGATCCTAAAATTTTCTTTGTTTCCCCAGAAGATACATCGCCCCCCTCCAGCAGGAAGTAGTAAGAGAAGCTACGCCCAAATTCCCAAATATACCAAGCTGACTTTAGAGATGTGTAAAGGTTAAAACCTTCCTTTTTAAGAAAAGAAAAGGGGAGGTGCTGTGGGATGGTCTGTATGTCAAATGTGTTGTTGATTGGTCAATGAATAAATCACTGATTGGCAGTGGCCAGGCAGGAAGTATAGGCGGGACTAACAGAGAGGAAAATTGAGAGAACAGGAAGCTGGGAGGGGGACACTGCGAGCCGCCATCAGGACAAGGAAGATGTAAAGTACTGGTAAGCCACAAGCCACGTGGCAAGGTATAGATTAATAGAAATGGATTAATTTAAGCTGTAAGAACAGTTAACAAGAAGCCTGCCACGGCCATACAGTTTGAAACCAATATAAATCTCTGTGTTTACTTGGTCGGGTTTGAGCGGCTTGGGACTGGCAGGTGAGAGAGATTTGTCCTGACTCTGGGCCAGGCAGGAAAACTCTAGCAACAGATGAAAGCATCACAATGAGGCTCATTTCTTTGTATGCTAGTCAAAAATTAATTCTAAAAAAATCTTTCAAAAGGTAAAAGAAATGATGACTTGTTATTGAAAAAATAAAGGTATTAAAGGCAACTACGTATGAGCAAGTAGAGCTGTACCACCAAGAAACCTTCTCTAAAGTAGTTACTGTGGCATGGATGCCAAGGAGGACTGTTGAATTTGAATTGTTTCACATTTGTTTGTCTATTTTTGTGTGTATGTGTGCATGCAGGAGGGTGGGTGATACACTCCACAGTGCATGTGGGAACAGCTTGAAGGAATCGGTCCTCTCCTTCCCCCACATGGGTTCTAGACATGGAACTCGGGGTATCAGCCTTGGCAGCAGGTTTTCCCACTGGTATTTCTTGTTGCCTGGGGTGCTGAGCTTTAGTGTGGACTAATGGAGAACTATTGAAGTTAGGGGGAATGATAACACATAAAACAGTGTGTGTGCTCTCTATATACTAATTAAGTTGAAGTAGTTAAATCTTCCCATATAGAAAACACTGGAACAACAACAAAAAATTTTTAAAAAGAACTTGAAAAAAAGGACAATGTTGAAAAAAGAATGGACCAGTGAGATTCTCCATGGGATGGAGAAACAAAATGAATACTTGTTAATTTATTCTACAAAAACCATCACCATTGCGCTGTGCACCAGAGATGGGCAACACAAGAAAGAAAAAAATTGGGCACCCAGCTGTGTATTTACCATGGCTGTCTTGGGTTTGTACTGGAGGCACAGGATCTTTGAGGATTAGAAAAACTATGTAATTCTCATTTACCATATCAATAGATTAAAGGAGGGAAGAACCACATGACCATCTCAGTAGCTGTGGAACAAACAGTGAATAAAATGTCAGTGTATGAGTTGGAGAGATGAGTCAATGGTTAAAAGCATTTGCTGCCTTCTCAAAGGCCTGGATTCAATTCCCAGCACACATGCCATGTTGCTCACAATCTGTAACTACAGTTCTAGGGGATCTGATGCCTGCCCTGGCCTCTGTGGGCACCTTCATCTATGTGGCACACATAACTATACTCAGGCATACACACAAAGACATTAAAAAGAAATAAGGAAAAATTAAAAAGAAAAAAGTCAATATGCATTCATGGTAAAAATTGTTGGCATTCACACATATACATTGAAATAAATAAAAAATTAAAAAGAAAAAGTCAACATTCATGGTAAAAAGTTATTGGCATTCAAGAATAGAAAGGAATTTTTCTAACTTTATCTCCCCTTACATAGGTGAAGAGTAAAAGCTTTTCCTGTAAAAGCAAGAACAAGGCCCACTGTCTCCATCTCCATTCCACATTGTCCTGGAGAGAGCTGGGGCAACGGAGGCACCAGGGTGCATGTGCAGTGGGTGAGGCAGCTCCTTGGGCTGCATGCCTGTCTCACCCAAGTCTGGTCCTAGTGCTGGAGACCCTACCAGTGCCAGTCAACAGGACAAAGAATCAGAGGCAAAGGGCTAGATAATAGAAAATTGAGCCATGTCAGAGATTAGGATACCCCTGTCGCAGAGGCACACATTCTGTCTCTGAACATGGTGATGGATATGAACAGAGATGTCAAGTATCAAACAGTCACGGGGTAGCCTCCAGAGGACTGTGTGGTTCAAAGGGGGACTTTTCTGCTGTGTCACATGGGCAGTGCCACTTAATCTTTCAGTTTTGGGTTCTTCCTCTATAGAGTCAGTGTCATGGGTTAAATGAGATGGGTTAAAGTCATTCCCACAGTGCCCACTACACAGTATCAATGCATACACATCCTGCTCCTGACTTGTACTTACTCCATCCTGGGTTCACAGAGTGCCAGGGCCAGGAGGCTCCTCCTTCCCGAGACTGCAATACTGTGACTTCCTCATTTCTTCCTGGCTGACAAGGGCCCTCCTGGGTGATGCTTGTCAGGGGCTCATTTTCTTTTTCCCCCCTTGGGGTTGATATGAGATGCTGTCTGTGGCCAGGCAGCAAGGACAAGTGACATCATGTGTTCCCACCTCTGACCATAAAAGGCTCTTTACTTGTGTTGATTAAACTCACAGAATGAAGATGCCATGTGCAAATGCTCTCAGGGCTGGCACAAGACTAGGAGAAGACGAGTCCCATGGAGTTAGAGAAATTGCTGGGAGAGAATTTTTTTTCAGTGCTGGAGACTCAACTCAGGGCTTTGTATATGTTAGGTAAGCACCTAAACAATGAGCTACATCCGCCACCCCTTGGTTTTATTTATTTATTTATTTATTTATTTATTTATTTATTTATTTATTTTGAGATAAGCTATTGCCATGTAGACTTGGTTGGCCTTGAATTTGCAACCCTCTTGCCTCAGCCTCCTGAATGTTGGGGTTATAAGTGTCTGTACAGGGGTATTTTTTTCTCTCTCACATAGTCATGCTCCATCGTGCATCAATGGAAAACACATGTGCTGCCACATGTCAATCAGCAGACCCTTCAAGAACCTCAGCCTCTTAAGATCTTGGATGTGAGAGAAGCGCCCATCTCCTAGGGGTGGTGTGGCTTTAAATGAGATTGCTATGCATACAGAGCATGGTCCTAGGCAGCTATGGGAAATATTAGATGCTACCCAGCCTTGTTCTCAGCAACTCCGGGGCCTCTAGTGTCTTCATTGTTAACTTGTTGAGCCTTCTTACCAATCATGAAAGGCAATGTGGTGCCTAGGACATTACATCATCATGTAGATGAAACTCTTAGAAAACATTCTGGGAAGTCAGAAGGGTTTCAGTAAACGTTCATATCTGAGGGAAGTTGTCTGCCATTTCCAGACTTACTTTGCCTGTTTCTAAGGCTGAGATGAGGTAAGAAAGTAAGGCAAGAATGTTTTGGTCTTTTCTGTCCAACCCTTCCTTCTTTCCATCCTTTCTGCTGCTGGTCTGCTACGACCCTACTCTTGGGAGGAGCCATTGCTGGCTGATGGCTCTGGATGGTTGTCCCAGCTGATCTTCACATGGCCCTTTCATGTTCATCCATTTAACAGGTGAAGAAACCAAGACTGAGGCGAAGCAAGCTGCCTCTGGTCACACAGCTGAAGGTGGGGTGCAGCAGAGGTGTGGTGCTAGCCCGCCCTCTACTCAGCCCCTTGGTGGACCTGCCAATGAAAAGCCTGGCAGAAAGGCACCGCCCGCACATGCGTACTCACGTCGTTGAAATGCTTGGTGGTTTTCATGATGTATGGCGTCCTTTCGTTTTTCTCTACCTTCATCCAGCCCTGGCCGAAGAACTCCCTGCAGGGAGGAAAGGGAAACCCAGAGCAGGTGAAATGAGCTTTGCCTTGCTCATTCAGTGTGGGGTCACTTCTTTGCTTTTTGAGGTGATCATTTATAGGGGAGCAGCTCTACGCAGAGGCCGAGAGAGGAAGGAACCTTGAGCTCAAGCCCAGCTTTATGCGGCACTTTGTGTCTTGGGTCCTTTACTCATCTGTGAAATGGGAGCGTAACAGCAACACTTTCCTCGTGGGACCATCATAAGCCTGAAAGGAGATGAGGTATGAGATGGCCCAGCAAAGCTGTGAAGCGGGTATGCATACCATCGTTTCTACATTTTAGTACTTTGTAGCAGCTGGTCTTCAGAACAGAGGTGACAGATAACCACAAAGGAGGTTTGGTGGTAGAGTGTGTGCCTATCATGTGCAAGGCCCCGGGTTCAATTCTCCACACTATACAAAAAAGGTGGATAAAAGAACTGAAAACCAGTTCCAAGCAGTGTGTTCTGGCACAGGGAAACTAATGGGGAAGCCATGGACTTCCCATGCTTCTAAGTGATCAGTGGAGGTGCTGGGGTGAAGTTCCACAGGTTGGTGCAGCCATGGGGAGGTGACACCTGTGAATATCTATTCTCCTCTTGCTACCAGAGAGAGGCAGGAGTAACACTGCTTCCACATCCTGGGGTTCGTAAGTCTCCAGGCCAACCCTGTCATTAGGTGAGACTGTACTCATGCCTGTGGGGCTGTGCATGTGGCCCTGGAAGGCAAACTAAAGGATGCTCCAATCATGTGTGGCCTTAGACACGGTGATGCCAATGTTCGGAAATAATTATATAATAATTATTGGAAATTCAGAGAAATGCCTTGGTTGGGAGGATGCTTAGTTCAGGTTTAAACATAAAAAAGAAAACCGCCTTAACTTAGAATGCACTAAGGAGCACTACACACAAAAACAGTGTTCACAAATGCATGTTGGTTATTAGATGAAGAGAGAGACATAGAACTGTGATTACAGAGAATCCAGGGTAACTAAAGACAAGGCAGAGCAGACAGCAGCAGGCCTGAGGCCTCACCAAAGTCAAGAGCCATCCTGAAATTTGTTTCTAGGGCTTGTGTACACACACACACACACACACACACACACACACACACACACACACACACGTACGTATACACATTCATGCCTGTGTGCAAATAAACATGTATTCTTTCTGTACCCCCAGAAAGAGGATTCTCCTGAAAAAGTATGTATAAGGGGAGCAGGTGTGTGCTTGCAGGTGATAGGTAACGAGAGAGCAGGGGGAGAGCACTCTTTCCAAGTTTTGGAGAGGTTCACAGGCTAGAGTCAGGGATGCGCTGAGGAAGGAGGAGGGGGAAAGGAGGGAGGAGGAGGGAGGAGGAGGGAAAGGAAGGAGGAGGAGGAAAAGGAGGGAGAAGAGAGAGGAGGAGGGAGAAGAGAGAGGAGGCGGGAGAAGAGAGAGAGGAGGGGGAGGAGGGGGAGGAGGGAGGAGGAGGGAGAGGAGGAGGAGGGAAGAGATGGAGGAGGAGGGAGAGGAGGAGGGAGGAGGGAGGAAAAGAGAGGAAGGAGGGAGGAGGAGGAAGGAGGAGGGAGAGGGAGAGGAGGCAGGCAGCCATACCCACTTACTCATAAGGAATCTTCTTGAAGACGAGGTGATCCAGCAGCGTCAGTTGCTCTGCTATCTCCAGGGCTGAGTGGTTTTCGAAGGGCTCAGCCTTCACGCCCTCTGCCTGAGGGAGCAAAGGCAGAGTCAGGCCAATGGTGCCTCTGGGCTTTCGACACTTTTCTGAGACCCTTCTCTCAGTTCTGGTGGGTGGTTGGGATAACAATGAGGAAGCAGGGCCCCACTGCGTATTGCACCCTTGGTATATGTGTGTTCTGTGCTTCTGGAGGACTCTCCCTGGAGGAATCAGTCACCTACCCTGTGGGGAGCCACCTCTACACATGTAGGAAGGAGGCCAAAGCCTGCCCAAGCTGCTCAGATGGAAATAGGCTGGCTGGGATGCAAGCTTGGGTATCTGATCCCAGCTGTGATGGGCCACTTCCTCTGGGTTCTGCTTGGTCCTAGGTGGGTTCAACACATTTTTTTTTCCTTGAAACTCATTAGTAGGTGTGGGTTGTGGGTTCCAGGGTATAATTTGCACCTGGGGCAGTGTTCCTGTCTTGTAGGCAGAAGACAGCTGTCGGCTACCATGTCCCTGACTTACGAGGTTCACTCATAGATACAACCTTTAAGATTATCTGTCCCCTGGGCCTCCTTGACCAGGGAACACCCTTAGGAAACATCAGTCAGGGACGGGGGTACCCATAGAAGGAGTTAGCTGGAAGTTAATACAGAGAGGTCTTTGGTCCGCTGGATTTGGGAGTTGGGGGTGGGGAGGAGAGGAAAGGACAGCTGTGTTGGTGCTGGGAGGATCCTAGGTCCACTGAAGGTCAAGTCAGATTAAAGGTCTCCTGTACATTGTGGCCAGCTGGGTCATTCAAGAGTAGAGGGAGGCCTATAAGGTAGAGATGGGCCTGCACACCATGCACGATTTCTGCTTTCTTCCACTCACGCCACGGCACCCAGAAGTCCTAGCAGCTGGCTGAGTGCCCAAGTGGCCCATCTGCATGGATTGAAAAGGAAGTGGGGTCCACCCACACCCAGAGAACACGCCATTCCTCGAGGCTGAGTGTTCTGCTGTTCCCCTCCCCCTCCATTTCTTTTGCAATCAGTGAGGTCTGTGTCGCTAGGCTGGTGGCAGACACTGGACATATGTAGACCTGCCGACAGACATGATTCAGGCTCAGGGGTTTCACAGTGAGGACTCAGGGGACAATAGATTCTGTGTGGTAGCAGATCAGTCATGGGTGTTTCCTGGCAGAGTCACCAGGGCAGAGACCAGAAGGCCAGGTGCAGGAGTGTGGGTGTGGGGAGCACAATACCTTTGGGGAGGATGAGTTCTTAGGCAGGCAAAGTGGGATGTGGGCATGAGGGCAGCAGGGGCTGGGTTGGAGGACAAGACTCCTATGGTGGCATTTCTCCTGTGTGTTCTTGGGGATGGACCCTTCGAAGGTGGGCAGCTCAGCTACAGTCACTCCTGAGGGTCCTGTGGAGGTTTACTCAGAGCTGGGTCCAGGATGGCAGGGCTGTGAGGGTCACAGAAAAGTCCAGGAGGCCATACTGGGGTGTGGTCCAGTGGCCCAGTGGCTATAGGTGCTCCATAGGGGCAGGTGACCTTTCCCTCACTTTTGATGTTGCCCAGGTCTTAAAGAAGTGGCTTTGGAAGTAGAGGTCAGAGTGATAACTTCCGTCACCTTCCAGAAGGCTTGTGGGAAATAACGTGCCAAGCCAATTGTCTCCTTCCCACTGAAGTCACTGGCCTCCATTAAGCTGGACCTGTCACTCAAAGTCTCTGGGGACCTGTCAGATGTGTACAGATATGGGGCTCAATAACCTTTTGTTCTAGAAGAGCCTCAGGCCATTTACAAAGGAAAAGGGCCCTTGTACTCATAAAGTGTAAACATGCCAGTCAGGCCCCTGCTGGCAAACAGGAGCACAGGACATTCTCTACACTGGGGAAGTGGTGGGGAGGCTATTCCAGTATTCTGGGCCCAGAGGATCAATCTGTAGTAAGTGATGTCGAGGTGCCACCATCTTCCCTGACCTGGCAGGTCACTGAGCTGTGTGGGCTCCGGGGATCACTGGCCAGGCAGAGTTACTCCTGGGCCAGAATGTGGATAAGATACTGTTCTCCATGAGTCTTGAGTGATGAAAAGGGAGAGGAGCCAAGGCCTGGAGTCCGAAGCCCTTACAATGGGTACTGCTAACACTCGTCAGCCTGGAGCTGAGCTGATGACACAGAACCCACCTCTGGGGAGGTCAGAGTCTGTCTTGAGCATTTCCAACCATCATCATTCAGTGGCCAGGAACTTTGGTAGGGTTCACAAAGGCATTCTGAGTATCCTAGTAGAGGGCTGGAAGTACACGAGGCCAGCATTCCCTTACGGCATATGGAGTGCCACCCCGAGCTCATGCTCTTTCATGGTGAACACAACTCTCCCCTGGGATCCTGTCACTTCAGGGCAGGTTCGGTGAGCACATCGTGACTCCTCAGGACGGGGTGGTGCGGCATAGGGTTTGAGTTTTTCTCTGGGGTCAGCTGGACCTGAATGTGAACAGCTTGCCTAACTACCACTTCCCACTCACACCTTTGAGTGAGTGATTTAGATCTCTGTGCCTCAGCTGCCTCATCTGTAAAATGGGGTAATGATGCAAACTTTCAGCATCATTGACGAGATGACCTCTTGTCAGATGGATCTGGAGTCTTTCAGAATCTAATGTGGTCCAGCACATAATTACCCATCAAAGGATCCTCCCTTGATAAGTATGACAGAGAGAAGCGGGGTGTGTGACGGAGAGGAGGAGGCACAGTGGTTGAAGAAAGGGGAAGTAGCATTTATTGGTTATATTTTGCTCCTCAATAAAGGAGCAATTTCCTAGGCCCTGGTGCTTGTCTGGAATCTTTGCCAATGTTATGAACTTACAGTGAGGCCAGTGGGGTGGGCCAACATGACTGATGTCCTTGTAAGATGGGAAATATGGACACAGTGGACACAGACATACACAGAAGGAAGACAACACAGGTAAATGAGAGGAAATGGCCCCAGGACCATGGAGACATGAACTAGAGTGGTACAGCTAGAGGTTGAGGGTATACAAGGCTACCGGAAGCTGGCAGAAGCAAGCAAGCGTCCTCCTCTAGAGCTCCTGGGGGAGCATAGCCCTGCATACATCTTCAGACTTCAGGCTCCAGGACGGGGTGGGGGGGGATCATACTGCCTAGTGTGTGGCACTTAGCTGCAAAGCCACAGGAAATGGATTCAAGTGATGACTGTGCTTGGTCAGGGGGGTCATGGAGCAATGAGGGTGGGAAGGACATTGCCTTGATGATCAGGGGAGATGGTCATCCTGCTCACCATCTGTGCGATCTCTTCCAGTGTGATCTGGTTGTCGCCTGGGTCCTCCTGGGTCAGAGTCCTAGGGAGAAGAAAGCATGTAAGCCCCAGTACACCTCTCTTGTAGATCTTCCCTACCTGGCCAGTCTTCCACAACCTCTGACCCCTGCTTACTGCCGTTACCCAGAGGCCCTACTTCTCTCTGCTTCCCTTGTCCCCCCTCTACTTTACTGACTTGTTCTTGATCCTTCTGTCTGGGACAGGTCCTTTCCTTAGCCTCTGAACTTCCTGCGCACTGTTGTGTATGTATGTGCTGGGACCCAGAGAGACATGGGCAGGGACCTCTGATGTCAGGCTGGGCCTGTGGCAGGCACTTCTGTGTGCACAAGGAAAGATGGGATACACATGGTGAAGTAGTATCTGACTTGGAAGACCAGAGTGGACAGGAGATGTTTCTAGATGGGATGTCCCTCAGGCCTGGCTTGGTCAGAGGGCCCAAAGATAATGTGACACAGTAGAATGGAGGCCCAAGAACCCAAGATGGGATTGTGTTGCGTGAGAAGTGAGGGAGGATGTAGTCAAGCTAAGTAGGGCGAGTCCTGAGCATTAGTTGAAAGTGAGGGGAGCCCCCGGCTCCCCAAGTCAGACCAAATCTTCAATTTCTATGATAGAACTTATGGGCATGACATGAGAATATAGGATGGGAAGAGTGGTAGTCTCTCAATGACAGACCAAGGGCCAGACCTGAGATATGCATAGAAAGCAGTGAGAAGTCCTTAGGGACTGGCTGAAGGGAGTGGAACTTTGGAGATCAGTCCTGGAAGCCAACACCAGCCCAGGGAATAGACACTCTGAGAACTGGCTCTCTTGAGGGCCCACAGCCAAAGAAGTCCTGCTGGACACAGTGTTCTCAGGCCCCAGGAGAACCTGGAGGGAGACACCAAGGGCCTGGGACTGCTTGTGTGCATGAGTATGCCTGTGGGCACTCCATTTATAGTTTCTCTCTAGGTCTCTTTGTCTATGTCTTCTTTCTTCTCTTTCTACACACATGCGTGCATGGACACAGAAAGTGTTGTAGATGAGGGAGGGCCAATAGTATCCAAGGACTGTGGTGGAGTGATGAGACCTGTACATGGGGCCTTAGGATAGGAAAGAGGCTGGAGACTTGGGTTATAAGTAGAAAGTGCCCAAGCTGCATTTGGGATAAAGTCTGGGGCAGATGCAATGACTGGGGTGTAGAAGTGGTTTGCGGATGTAAGGAGGAAAAGCTCTCCCCAGCCTGGGCTGGAGAAGCCAGCCTGAGTGGAAAGGATGAGAGCAGAATGTGGGTGCTAGTGCGTCTATGCTATTTACCTTCTGAGAGCCTGCAGAAGCCACATGTACCATCTCACTTGAGCCTTACTGCACCCTGGAAGCCAGCAGGGTTCATTCATTTTACAGAGGAGAAAATGAGGTTTGGCTAAGGGCCTTCCTCTGGTCAACAATGAGTCACTGGCTGAGTTAGCTCAGATGTGGGACTGTCTGAACCCTGACCTCTGCTAGAAGAGGCAGGTTAGGGATCATGCACAGCATGGGTCTGAGGACAAACAATTATAACTGAGTTTAAACCAACAGACATTCCTTGAATGCCTGTGAGCACTGTCCAATGGAACTCTCTATAGTGAGGAGATGGACTGACCCATGTTGTTTAAGATAGAAAGCCTCTAGCCAACTAAAGCTCTGGGGACTGAGGGACACAATTTTATTGTATTCAGTTTTAGTTCACTGAGATTTAAATAGTTGTATGTAGCTAGTACCTATCACATTGGATAACACATGCTGGACAGGTGTTAGCAGCCATGGACATACATGGAGAAGTGGTATATGCCCCCACCCCCAACAGGGTCTCATGTACTCTGGGCTGGCTTACTGTGTAGTCAAGGATGATTCTGAACTTCACATACTTCTGTCTCCCAAGTGCTGAGATTACAGCCTGAGAGATGGGATCACAGACATGCACTACCATAATCGGTTTCTATGGTGCCAGAGATTGAACCCAGGCCTGTGCAAGCACTCTACCAACTGAGCTACATCCATAGCTACATCAAGGTCTGGTGAGGGGTGGGGAGGAGAGAGGGATAAGTACACAGAGCACTGCTCCATACTTGAGTCTAGAGTAAGGGGGATGGCTCCCAGATGTCTGAGACTGACATCTACCCTGATATACCTCCTGCCCAGTCTGGCTACTATGGAGGTATAGGGCAGGCCAGGTCATCTTAAGCAGGAGGACCATGCTGCTCTTACCTGATGATGTTGGCCGCTGCCTTTCGCTCCTGTGTCAGAAGCTCTGGGTCATGCATGACCTCTTCCAGGAAACTGATGACCTTGCTTTTGAGCTTACTGTTGGTTTCGAAGTCCTGTGGGAAGATGGGCAGGCAGCTCTGGCTACAGTTACCGAACTTTCCTGCAGTATTCTGAGGCCAGGCTGAAGGAGGGAGTTTCTATTTCTGCTCACGGTGGCTGCTTGCTTTCCTTATCTTGTCCCTACTTCCAGCAAGGCCACACATAGGGCTTCAAGCTTCCTAGACACTGGGTGCTGGGACAAGACCAAGACCACCCCTTAGCTGTTGCATCCCTAAGTTAGGGAGGCCCAAGCCTGCTTGTACTCTACTTGCAGACAGGTGGCCCAACACAGGCCCTTGTCTTCTTGACTGTCCTTGCTTCCCTTCCCTGGGAAATCTGAGCAGGCACCCCCCCCCCCCCTCCCGCAGGAAAACAGGACCCCCTTCCTCCTGTTGACCTACTACTGTTTGCTATCACATACTGCCACGGGGAAGCAATTGCTCCAGGAACACGGCCCCACCCACCTGAGAGTGCTTGGAAACCCAGTGGCGGAGCACATTCAGCACTCGATTGGTGGCCGCTCTGCGGATCACAAACTCCTTGTCACCATTTCTCTGGTCAGGGGGAAATCCTGGCAGTGCTGGTGGGAGAGGAAGAGAGGGACAGGAGGTGGAGCTTGCTTAGCAGACGTGGTTTGTCTGAGGCCCTTGGAAGGGAGCGCTTAGCAACTGGGTTCAGACCCAAGTGAGAGGCCACGAAGCCTCAGGGGATGCGGTTCTTCAGCACCCAATCTCTTGTCATACCTGGTCCATCTAGAAGGTTCAGGAAGCTTCCACCAACAAGATTATACAGGACACCCCAGACCAGAGCTCTCCAGGAACCCCCCACCCCCTCTAACCTTTGGTGTGGAACCGTTGCTGTGGAAGTGGGTGCCGAGGGCTCTCTCTGTTGGCGTTCTTTGCCTGGAGTAGAATTTGGCCAAGGACCAAAGGGGACTGGGGAGGGAGGATGGGACTCCAGGATGGCAGGATAGCACTGGCAGGGCCTGCAGGAAGAGTGGAATGGTGTGGGTAGCATCATGTCAAAGCACATAGAGGGGAGGGTAAATCTAGGGGTGCATATGTGTGTGTGTGGTTGTGGATAAGCTAAGGCCACCTTTCTAGGGGTTGACAAGCAACACAGCTAAGACTATCTCATTGATGATAGGATGTGGGAAGGGAGGGTGCAGAGCAGGCTGCACCCCAAACACACAGTAGCCCTGGCTGCAGGTCTGGATGTACTGAGGCTCGCTGGTGCTGAGAGAAGGGCTCCATCCCAGTCTCCACGAGAGGAGGGGTCAACAGGGCAAATAACAGGAAGCAAGGCTTCATGTCCAGGAAATGAGGATAGCTTGCTGGAGCGGGGTGGGGTGGGGCTCTCCAGAGGCACTGTAGAAGGACCCACCATGGCATCCACAACGCACGATAAACATCTGGGGAAGGGAAGGCCTCAAGCCTGTGGCTGTCACCCCTGCCACAGAACCATGGAGAAGGGGAGTACCCACAAGCACAGATGTCTACGCACCTGTGGTGGCCAAGGACATCCTGCGATATTGAAACTTCTCCTTCTTTGGGGTGCTCTCGTTGGCTCCCGCGGTAGCTATGGCAAAGGCAGAGGAGGCCGAGAGGGCACTGCGGGTATTGTCTAGTTCACGACATGAGGTCATCACGACTCCATTGTTGTAGTTAAAAAGTGGGAACTCTGTGGAGAGGAGGGAGCTGACCCTCAGCCATTCCTCAGTCCTGGCAGACATTCAGGCAGCTGGAGAACAGCCCAACCTCAAGAGTGGAAGTTCTTCCTCTATGCCCAGGGCTGAAGAGGGGTTGGAGGGTAGTGTGGGGGGGCTCTGTTCCCTGTAAGAGTCATGCCACAATATTCCTAGAGCTGTCCCAGGGAAGGAAGGCTCAGCTAGCCTCTTGTTGCTTAGAAGACAGGGAGCCACCTTTCTCTTTCTCTAAGACTTCCAGCCCTGTCACTTCTTGGCCTTATTGGGCCCAGGCCTGCTTGAGGAAAGCATCATTAGCCATCTGCTTTCAGGGTACTGGGAACTGACACAGCCCACTAAAATTCTGAGGGTCACAATTCATATTGGCAGAGCTATGAGTACAGTAGGACTAAGATAACATTGCACGTGTGGATCTTCTACCTGGGTTGAAATTCTCCCCACCTCTCACTGGCTGTGTGACCATAGGAAGGTTCCTTCAACTCTGGAGCCTTAGGGATCTCTGGACAGTAAGGATATGTCCAAAGGTGGATATAAGAAGATCACAGAAAAAAAGTTCCAAAAGCTATGTAAACGTGGAGACGTTTGGTATGGCAATGATGACAAATAGCCATGGAGGTCAACTCCAGAACCCTTTGGCTTCATCTTAGAGGATTCTAAAGCAACTGGCTTGCTTTAAAGACTCTGAGCTAGTCCCTTCCTTTCCCTTCCCCTTCCCTCCCCTTCCCTTCCCATCCTGTCCCTTCCCTTCTTCCCTTCCTCCCCTCCATTCCATTCCCTTCTTTTTCTGAGATGTCTCAATTGCTGGGATTATAGTCATCACTCACACCTGGGCCTCAATGCCTATTTCTAAAAATGGGCTCTCCTGAGATCTACTGCTGTGTCTAAGAAGCCAGGCAGGGCTGTAGCGTGTTCAGGTACCTTTGCTCTCAGCCAGGCAGCCTTGTTCCTTGTTTCTTCCCAGGCATTGAAAATAGGAGATTCTGGGATTTGAGCTGCCCCATGTGTGGGGAGCAAGAGCTTGGGAATTGCAAGCTTCCCTCCTTGGGAGGCATCACTCATAAAACTTAAGTGGCAATATCAGCATGCTTCCCCTTGATCTGACCTGTGGCCCTTTCCTCCCCTGGACATCTGCCTGCAGCTCCACGCTGGGGAACGGTACCTGAAGAGTTTTTGCTTTTGACTGATGCTGGTGTTGATGGAGATTTGGTAGGTGATGCCTCAGTGTCACAGTCATCACTCTGGTTCTGGTCAGCATCAGAGTCTTCTTTCACAGAGACTTCAGAGCCTGAGGGAATAGAAAGACTCACGCTCTTCTCAATTATTCATTGATTGGAAAACTTACATCCATAATTCATCAAAGAAAAGCAGAGTAATTTACAAGAGCCTGGTACCCTGGATGAAGACCGCTCAACAGCTTAGTTGCTACAGGCCTTATCAGAACCTTTTGCATGCTCATGGATGGTGTGGCTCTCCAAGATGGTGTTTTCTTTACTAGGACTTCCAAAACCTTAACGGGCATACCTAGGTTCCTGTTAGAACACAGATTATGGGGCCTAGTGGTAGAGTGCTTGCCTAGCCAAGTGTGCTTAAGGTTTTGGGTTCAATCATCAGTGGTAGGGGTGGGGAGCAGGTTGTAATACAGCTCCTGTCTACATGGAACAAGGAAGTCTTTCTTTCCTTCATTTTTTTGAGACAAGATCTCATGTAGCTTAGGCTAGCCTTGAACCTGCTATGTGCATAGCTAATGACCTTGAATTTCTGATTCTCTTGCACCTACCCTCCAAGTACACCAACCACATCAGATTTTATATAGTGCTGGGGATTGAATCTAGGGCTTTGTGCTAGGCAAGCACTCTCTCTTTTTTAATTGAAAACAGATTTTTCATACAATATATTCTGACTCAGGTTCCCCACCCCCCGCAACTCCTCCCATATCCTTCCCACCTCCTTACGCACCCAAATCACACCCCTTCTTGCTCTCTCTCATTAGAAAACAGACATCTAAGTAATAATAACAACAACAAAAATAATAACAACAATAAAAACAACAAAAAGAGTAGGAAAAAACAAACAGGAAAAAGAGCCAATGAAAAATCATAAGAAAACATAGACTCAGCATACATATTAGAACACACAGAAATCCCATAAAAACACAAAACTGGAAAACATAACATATAAGCTCAGACATTATGAGACAAAGAAAACTTCAAAAATGTCATTGAGTTCATTTCATGTTGGCCATCTACTCCGGGGCAAGGGGCCTGTCCTTAAGTGTGGTTTGTATACCCTGCAAGACTGTTGGAGAAAATTGGTTTTTCCTTTGCAAGCTGTTATCAATTGGAGATAAGCAGTACGCTTCAAGTACTGCGTTTCTAACAGTACAGCCCCAAGTATCTGCATTTCTAACAAGCTTCTGGTGATGCTCATGTGGCTGAGCAATGGACCATATGGAGTAGCAAGGTGTTTCTGTTTTGGGGAAGATATCTTGGGGGAATCCTGTTTCATATCTCATCTCTTGCTTCTGGTCTGAAATAAGAATTAGTCTCCTAATCAGGGGAGAGTGAGGGCCTATATACTCTTTGGACAGTGTGAGGTTTTGCTGAAAAAGTTGTGTGTGTGTGTGTGTGTGTGTGTGTGTGTGTGTGTGTGTGTGTGCATGTATGTAATATGAAAGTTGACATCACGTGCCCTCTTTTTTTTGGGGGGGGGTTTCGAGACAGAGTTTCTCTGTGTAGCTTTGTGCCTTTCCTGGAACTCACTCTGTAGCCCAGGTTGGCATTGAAGTCACAGAGATTCCCCTGCCTCTGCTCCCGAGTGCTGGGATTAAAGGCGTGCGCCACCCGGCACGTGCCCTCCTTAATTGTGCTTCACTTAATTTTTCTGAGACAGGGTCTCTCACTGAACCAGTAGCTCACTAAATGTCAGTTAGAATAGCTATCAAGAGCGCCCGGGAGCTTCCTGGCTGCCTTCTCAGCACTGGAATTGTAGGGTTGTGCCTCGGAGCCTGGCTTTCTAATGTAGGTGTTAGAGACTCAACACAGGTCTTCCTGCTTGTGTGGCAATCAATTTACCAACCGAGTCACCTTCTCAGAGCCTTGGGGGAGGGAACTTAACTGCTCTGGGTCTCAGTTTCCCCAACTAGAAGGTGAGTGCACTCGAGCCTGTTTATAAAACCAGCTGGAAGCCACAGGTCTCTTTAGAAGAGCCACATCCACCCAGTTCACAGAAGCACATAGACAGACTAGGGGGTCCCTGGGTCATTCAGCTCTCCAATGTGCAAGCTAGGGCCCAAGAGACTTTCCACAAGGCCCCTACAACTCTGGCTGAGGTGGTCTTAAATGCAGGCCTGGCTGGCCTCAGGATTCCTATGGCACTGCACTTCCACCCCCTCGAAACCCAGTGGACATGTGAAAACCCTCAGGTGCCATGGTGTAGACACTGGGTTTAGAGGCAGAGGTATCAGATGAGTCACTGCCTGTCCCTGAGCCTCTGCTTCCTCGCCCACAAGCATCCTTTAGGACCTGGTACCAGGTGGCTTTGTAGGTCTGACTGAGGCTGCATTCCACAAAGTAGCAATGGGGTCTCACTGCAGGTTTGTGCTGGACAGAAATCTGAGCATCACACTGTTGCCTGTCTAAGATCCCATACATTATGCACATTGGATGTGCATAATTTGGGTTCTCTGGCAAGCTGTCATCTTAGCTACCAACTTTCAGCTGTGTGAGACACACACACACACACACACACACACACACACACACACACACACACACGGACAGACACAAGGACACACAGAGACATACATAGACACACACACAGACACACATACAGAGCAAGACTTTGCTGGTGGTTCCTAGCATATGGCCTGATCTGAGCTAACACAGAACCAAATGGGACCCTTCTACAATGGCCAGGAGAGGCTGTGGATGGGAAGGAAGGCCCTGGCTGCCCCAGCAGGATCTTGGGCCACTGCCACTACCTTTGGTGCTCCAGCTGTGCTGAGCTGTTCCCAGAGCCTACAATGCCTCCCTTATTCTTCAGCATTTTATACTCCATTGCTTTTGTCTGCAATGTTGGTGAGCATCCAATCTAATGGGTCCATTAGTAATCCTCCAACTCTCCTGATGGTGTCCCTGGTCCATCCTCTGTGCTCTTCTAGCCCATTTCAGATGTAACGGGCACCAGGTGTCCACTGCTCAGTGTTCAGTCTGGTCCCCAAGCTAGACTGTGAATCCTGAGGGCAGGAGCTAATGATATGACTTGAATATAAGGATGCTGGATGCAACTGTGTGACAGGGAGAGGGGAGGCACAAACCCGAGGATTTGGACTCATCTAAAGTGTGATGATATCATGGGAGCTTATGCTGTCCTCGCCGTGGCAACCTATCCCCTCTACATGGCTACCAGTCTGCACGGCCTACATCCTGTACAACAGAGGCCTTGAAAGCCCAGCCCAGCCGCACTGTGATGAGTGCTGATGGAGTGCTTCTGCTCACATAGCCACTCACTCTGCTTGCTAAGGGCTGAGGGCTCCTCAGGCTTCTCTGGAGTTGCAGTTGGAGTTAGAACTGGGGTTGGGGTCTGGGTTGGCGTCTGGGGTGGGGTTGGGGCTGGGGTTAGGGGCTGGGTTGGGGTCCAGGTTGGGGTTGGGGTCCGGGTTGGGGTCTGGGTTGGGGTCTGGGCTGGTGTCCGGATTGGGGTCTGGGTTGGGGTCTGGGCTGGGGTCCGGATTGGGGTCTGGGTTGGGGTCCGGATTGGAGTCTGGGTTGGGGTCTGGGTTGGGGTCCGGATTGGGGTCTGGGTTGGGGTCTGGGCTGGGGTCCGGATTGGGGTCTGGGTTGGGGTCTGGGCTGGGGTCCGGATTGGGGTCTGGGTTGGGGTCTGGGCTGGGGTCCGGATTGGGGTCTGGGTTGGGGTCTGGGCTGGGGTCCGGATTGGGGTCTGGGTTGGGGTCTGGGTTGGGGTCCAGGTTGGGGTTGAGGCTGGGTTTGAGGTCAGGGTGGGGGTCTGGGTTGGGGTCTGGGTTGGAGTTGGGGTCGGGGTCGTGGTGGTGGTTGTGGTCGTCATTGTAGTTGTGGTTGTAGTCGTATCGGTCTCATCTGGAGTCTTCTTGGTGAAACTGCTGGTCACACAGAGCTTGCTGGTGTCCAGTGTGGACTTGCTGAAGGGAGACATGGGTGAGTGCATGCTGGTGAAGCCATTGGAGCTGCAGCTGAATGCAGCCAGGTCCAGCGCCTTGCCGCCTGTGATGATGGGGATGTTGAGGGACAGCTTCCGCCTGCGGCTTGGAGACGATGTATTGATGGACAAGGGTGGTGGTGAGGAGAACTTGCGGGTGGCACGAGGTGACTTGGGGGGCTCTCCGTACAGAAGCTTATTGTTCTGGCCGCTGGCAAACAGGAGCTCCAGTGACCTGTGGGGAGGGGAGGGGAGAGGAGAAAGAGCTGTTGGTGTAGTGTTGTCCACCTGGCCTGCTTCCTATGGGGCTCAGGGTGGCTGATGGAGGTGTCTCCCTTATGTGCATGATCCTTGATGCTGGGGGTGGGTCCCTGCACAGGCTTGTGATTAAAGGGCTTGGGGACAAATGTTTGTATCCGTAGGGTTTGAGTAGGCTGGATGTTTGGTGGTGGGGTGCTTCTATCTGATGCTGCCTCCTTCTGTGGTGTTAAGCCTCCTGACTGCAGGCCTTTGCAGAGCCTCCATCCATCCACGGGAGGCTGCTCTCACCTGCATGCTCTGCCCGTGTCCATACAGTGGTCCTAAGGGATGCTTGTGGGCGAGGAAGCAGAGGCTCAGGGACAGGCAGTGACTCATCTGATGCCTCTGCCTCTAAACCCAGTGTCTACACCATGGCACCTGAGGGTTTTCACGTGTCCACTGGGTTTCGAGGGGGTGGAAGTGCAGTGCCGTAGGAATCCTGAGGCCAGGCCTACATTTAAGACCACCTCAGCCAGAGTTGTAGGAGCCTTGTGGAAAGTCTCTTGGCTTTTCTGGACCCTAGCTTGCGCATTGGAGAACTGAGCTTCAGTGACATAGGCATGAAAGATGGCCTCAAATCCAAGGTGGCTAAAGGGTTATGTCCACTGAAGGATGTACCTTGAGCATACCGTGAAGGGCTCCCTCTCTTCAAAGCATGATGGGTATACACAGAGCAGGAGAACCTTCCTGCCTATCTCTCTCCCTTCCATCTTTCCATCTTACTATAAAGGGTGGGCCCTATGTTTCCCAAAGGGGTATAGTGAAGGAAGAACAACGGATGTCTCTTGGTTTCCCTGGCCAAGGCAGAGGAGGTAAACTAGGCTTAGTGAGCAGCAGCATGGACGGCTAGACCTCTAGGGCCCCCGGGCAGAGTGATCCCTCCCTAGAGAATGTCATCCTCCCAAGTAGACCTCTAATAGGTTGTACAGCTCTGGATGGTCTCATGCTTCTGCTCTTGGCACTCAGTTATAGAGCTTTGGGGTTATAGCCTTGTACCCTCATGCCCAGTCTCCTTTGGAAAAAAACAGATTCAAAATGTACTCCTTCTGTGGTCTGGGAATGGTGTGTGCCACCACCTCCTCGCTTCTGGGACAGCCTCTTCTCCACGGACCTCTTTGGCCTGGAAGATCTGTGGGTTTGGGAGGGGGTGCATGTACTAGTGGGGAATGGTACTGATGGGATTCTCTTGAAAATATTTTTCACATTTCATTAAGTAGTTAATGTATGTATGTGAGTGTGTGCCTGTGCGTGTGTGTATGTCTGGGGATGTTCAGGTCATAGAGTGAGTGTGGAAGTCAGAGGACATCTTGCAGGAGTGAGCTCTCTCTTCCCACCATGCTGGTTCCAGGAGTTGAGCTTAGATCATCAGGCTTGGCAGCAGGTGCCTTTACCCACTAAGCCACCTTCTCAAAACCCAGGGAGTCTTGTAGATGGTGATGGCAAGGGCCATGCGTGCACCTGGCGGGGATGGCACTGATGGGTTTCTTGTAGATGGTGATGAGCTTGTCTAGGACCACCACGGCTGTGGTGAAGACACGGTAGGAGTGCAGGAAGGTGTTGAGGAAGTCGATACTCAGGAAGCGAAGGTCTGTCAGCCGCTCCAGCAGCCGCTCCACACTGGCGTACCGGATCTGCAGCACTTTGCAAGAATTCATGGTTTTGCTGAAGCGAATGTCAACATCATCACAATATAAGGAGGCATCGGACCTGTGGAGGGAGGGAGCAGGAAGACTTGACATGTGTACAAATGTCACCATCAACACAATATAAGGAGGCATTGGGCCTGAAGGCTGAGCGGGGAGGAAGAGGTGGCACATGCCCAAGGTTGTTTGGGCCCATGGCATCTCTTCACTAGACCAGGGCTGAGGCTACCACCAGGCCACCTTGTCAACCCCCACCTTCCAGTCAGGAAGAGTGTTACTAAGTGAGCACAGGAAACTTCAGAAGGATAACACCAAGAAAGAGCTGTCATTCTTTCCCCCAGGATCCTAAAATCCTTCAGTATACGGCACCAACCCCCAACAGTATTGGAAAAATACAACAAACTTTTAAAAATGTGCTTCAAAATTCCCAACACACAAGAATTCTATTCACATAAAATATGCATATTTATGTTTACAGTGGCGTTCATAATAGAGCAGAATGGAAACAACCCACAAATGTCTATCAGCAGATGATGGACAAATGAAACACAGTGCGCATGAGAAGAAATGAAGCACTGACATACTACAACATGGATAAGCCTTGAAGACATCACACTAAGTGAAACAGGCCATGCGCACTATGGTCCCATTGATAGGAAAGCACAGAACAGGCAAATCACAGTAACAGGAAGTAATCTGGTGGATGTTGGGTGTTCGGTGGGTGCTTTGGGACTGACTGTTCACATGTATGCCATCCCTTTCTTCGGTGAGTGGTGATGGGAGTAACTTAGAAGTAGAAGCTGGTGTCAGCTGTACAACATAGTGAATACACTCAAATCTACTGGCTTGTACTTTTAAAGTAGAGAAATCTATGTTGTATGAATGTATCTCAATTAAAAAAATAAATAGGACCAGGTGTGGTGGTACATGCTTTACTATCAGTACTTGGGAGGCAGAGTGGGGCAGATTTCTCTGAATTCAAGGCCAGCTTGGTCTACCTAGTAAGTTCTAGACCAGTCAGGGCTACACAGTGAGACCCTATCTAAAAAAAAAAAAGGTAATATGGGGTGGGAAAAAAAGATAAATGGGAAATTCCAGTGTTCCAAGTGAAGAGAAACTGGGAAAACAGCTGCTGTTTTTGCCACCTCGAGGTGTCTCTGGAGTTTGGAGACTAGTCTCTAGGTTTTTCACAGAAGCCTGGCCTACTGAGCAGGAAGCTGGATGTCAACTTGGGGTCCATGAAGGGTACAACTTTCAGAGAAAGATAGTGAGGGAGAAACCTTGTCCTCCAGCAGAAGGGGATGGCAGGCCTTACTGATCCTGGTCTTGAAGTACAATATGCTACTGCTGTGATCTATGCTCTTCAGATTAAGAGTGGAAAGTGGTGTCACAGATGTGATGCCCCTGGGACACTCAATGGAAGAACTATGAAATCTTTCTAGAAAGATATTTTTGGACCAGATCAGGCTCTACATATTCATAGGTAAGTCCTCAGCAACAGAATGGAGAACCATTCAAGGACTTAAGCCCCTCCATATAACAAATAGTTGAATTTGATGCCCCCCTCCCCCTGTATTTTTTTTAACTGTGATAACTGAGTGAGATGCAGTCTTCACTTGATTTTCCTTCTCATTTTTGTTGGCCTGTATTCCCTATACATTGAAGGTTGTATCTTATTAGTTGTTTTTACTTGCAGCTAGTAGCTGTCTTAGCCCTTTTGTGTTTCTGGTGGGATGTTACTGGAGGAGTATGTAGATGAAAAGATAAATATATGCTCTTATTGAAAGGATATGCTTGAAAATCTTATCACAATGAACTCCCAGAGCCAAAAATCCCCACAGAAAAGAGGAGTTCAGCCTGGACTGGCTGCCGAGGTGAGGACAGGCTTACACCTGTAAGGCTTACTTTTCTCACAGTTGTGATATAACACAGCAGCGACTCAAGGGAGGAGGTTGATTCAGGCAGTCCACCACAGGGTGAGGGCATGAGGCGTGGTGCAGCTAGCTTACATCTGGATGAACCCAGGGCGGGGCCTGGTTATTATAACTCACAAGCCCTTTTGCCCTCTTGGGATTCACTTCCTCCAACTGGGTTCAGCCTTTTGAAGGCTCTACAATATCTCAGAATAGTGTCACTAGTGGGGCACTAAGTGCTGAAACACATGAGGGGGACACCACAATCAAATCATAAGAGCATCCTTGGGGCCGGTGTGGAGGACACAGCTTGATGCCCAGCTCTGCTCTTGTTTCCCAGACAACGCCTACTCTTCACTTCTTAGGCTCCTCATCTGTGAACTGGAAACAAGGCCTTCCACAAAGCTTCCTTGAGAGTGGGATGAATGAACCAATTTAAGAGGCCGAGCATGGTACATGGAACACAGAAAGCTCTAAGTGAATTGACTGAATTCACTGGCTCTGCAGAGGGTGTTTCCCACTCGAGGATACGGACAGAGCTCTAAGGAACTGAACCAATGGACTCATTTTCTCATTTGAACCATTTCTAAGGCACTTTTTTGGGGGGTTTGGGAGCTGGTGGTGCAACTGGGCGGTAGAGCACTTGCCAAGCGTGTCTGAGGCCCCAGGTTCAACTCCCAAATACTTTCCCTGGAAATACGGGGTTTGAAATCTCAATAAATAGCCTTTTCCCAAGAGCCTCCAATGAGCAGGAGGGTGAATCTGGAAGGTGGAGAAATGGAACAGTAGATTAGGGTAGCATGTGGACAAATGGCAGCCCTCATCACTGGCTTACACACTGCCTTTCTGTCCTGCTTCTCCCTACCTGCATCAACCTTCCCTGCTGTGTGGACCACAGGGGAAGCGGGAAAAGTGAGTCCAACCCACAGTGTGCAGACTAAACCACATGGCCTCCAGAGATAACGGCATTTCAAGAGAGACCATCTCAGAGAAACAGAGGGAAGGCCTTCTTCTAACTCAGCTTTGCTGCAGGACATCCTAGAAACCTGCTGGCACCAAGTCCCCAGCTCAGCCCCTTGCCTTTTTCCAGCTGATACCATTGCTCCTGAGTGCTCTATCAGAGTGGCCATTCAGGGGGTGGGGCTGATACCTTTGGGGTCCAACCCTACCACCTACAGAATAAAAACCAACAGCTTGCCAAACACAAACAATACTGTTAACTGGATCCCACACACCTCAGCAGCCCCATCTTTCACCACACGGTGTTAGTTAATAAAGTCTGTGCAATAAAAACGTCAGAGAAACGAGAAGTGAAATGAGGTGGAGGAATAGCTTGTGAGACGCCGCAGATATACTTATAAACTACAGCATCTGCATGTTGAAGGCAGGAGAGGATCAATAGACCGCAAAGACACCCAATATTCATGGTACACTTAAGATACACGAGGTACAAGGGATGTTCAATGTTCATGAAGTCGTAAGCCAGACATCCACTGATGACACCTACATGCAGATAACATCACAGCTGTTGGTGAGGCTAACTGACGCGCTCAGCTATGGTCAGGCATGAGTGCCTTTTTACATCTCAGAGAGGGCAAGTGTGCACTACAGACCCAAGTGCCTTCTATAGCTCGGGTTCGCTCATCTTACTTTCACTCTGGTCTATGCAGCAAGGAAGGCTGACACAACACAGTGGGGAGGCAGGGCAGGAGAGCAGTCTGTCACTCAGGTAACGTGGGGCTGGCACTTGACCATAAGCCCCCCTAACTTCCTGTTCCATTTCTCCACTCCCATCCCTGCTTCTTACTCTGTGTTTCAAATGGACTCACCAAACTCTAGGGTGACACATCTTAATTTGGTCCCTGAGCCTGTCTGCTCCAAGGCCTAGAGGATAATCGGTCTGATCAGGTACCTGGAGAGTAGAGCTCACCCAGGTTACTGCCTGCATGGCACTCTAAGTCCCATAACCCCGCCGCCCAATGGGATTATTCCTCATTTCTCAAACACATTGCACTGTCTTGCCTTTGTGCAAATACTCACATTGTTCTTTCTTCCCAGAATGCCTTTCTATTTAACCGCAACTGGCATTCAGTGTCAGTTCTGGGTTCCTTTTTCAAGGAAGCCTTGCTTGACTGTGCTCAGCGAATAGGTCCTGTATCCGTCCGCTGCACCCTTCCAGTGCCACACGAGCTGTCGTATGGCTCCCCACAGAGGCATTTCACTGTGTCTCTTTGGTGCACTGAACAGCTCTTCCTACGGGTCCCCCCTCCCCACCCCCCGCCACCACCTCTGGGCGTTCAGCAATGCGGTGGTGAGGGGAATGATACCTGACCAGTTTCAAAGAAGTTTAAGGGACCTGATGCCCCCAAACCTGTCTCTGCTGACCCCCCAAATGTAGGAAAAACTCCAAGTAATAAAACTGATGCTATAAAGGATTTGCTAATAAACTTGCTTAGGAGACATTAAGTCACACAAAGTAGAATTAAGCTAACTAAGAGCACAGTGCCTTACACTTCAAACGTAAGTGTTACACTAACCAGGCCTGCTAGAAATAATTCGAGTTTAGCATTGCTGGGAAAACACTTCAGCCAATGTTTGTTCACCAGGATTGATCTGCAATTAGGCTCTATTCCCACGACAAAGAAGACACCCCCAACTTACAATCAGCCATTAGGTGCATTCTCCTGTCAAAGACCATGCCTCTAAGGGGGAACTCAAGTGGGCAACACAGGTGACAAGTGTCATTAAGACCCGGTACACCACAAAACGTAATTCTGCCAGATGAGAGAGATGACCCTGTTAGCAACTATTCAAGAAGAACAGCACTGGCGGACTTGAGAAATAATCGTGGCAATATCATTGCTGTGTAAATCTCCCAACTGCCCAAGAGGCCAGACTTGCAGCCTCCTGTCTTTGTTTAAATTGTTCAAAGTGTAACCTTCGATTGAGACCTAAAAGAGACTTAAGGATGACAGCGCATTGGGAATTAATGAACCAAAGGCATATATAGGCTGGTAAAAGTCTGTTGAAGGCTTGTCCCCTTTTGTGCATTAGAATCAATCACATGCTATTATTAAAGAGTTTTTCCTTCATTCATCTCTAAATGTTCAGAGTGATTTCTCACTGTGGAGACATGTGAGAACATCAGCACACAGTAGGCTCATCTTGGTGCAAAGTGTGAGCCACAGGAGTCTGGCATCTTTCAGACACTAAGTCTTGTGGGATGCACTGTCCCAGGGCATTCACTGGAAATAGCAGAGATTCATAGCATATAGCAGCCATAGTCATCTAGACACAGGCCAGCGGGGAGTGGGGCCCTGGGAGGTATCCAGTGACATTATCAGTCTTGGGATTCACAGGTTGAGATGGGAGCCAGACAGCCAAGGTGCTGCAGGGTTGGGGAAGGAAGGTGGGAATCATTGCAGGAAAGATGTTTCTGTTGGATTATGGGAGCTGTGCTACACGGGGGCAGGGCTGGGAAAACTGTGTCCAAAGGACACCATTCCCTTTGTCCCAAGGGACTACTCAAATAGGTGCATTGGCCCTGCAGCTGCACCCTGCAATTAGGTTTTTGATATATTTTGAAATGTTCTATGTATTTATTTTGAAATGAGAAGAAAAATTCTTAAGAAACAATATGTGAAATTTTCATTCCTAATATTATATTTTTAAAAGTCCAATGTAAAAAATTAACCGACATGTAAATAAAAAAAGCCAACACGTGCAAAGCCAACCAGCCACGACAAGAGCTACATCAAAGCAGCCGACCAAAGAGACATTCACTCAAAACCTCAAACAGACATCCCAAGCCTCCATCACAAAACACAGCATCTTTGGAGCCCTGAGGCTGGCCCTGCTCAGGTCCTAGCTGTCTCTACTTAGTGCTTGTGTCTGGAGTGCAGACAGGTGAAGGGCACTTACTTGATCATCTGTGGCACAGTGACCTTGGAATTTTCTTCAAAGGCATTCATCATGAGTCCATTGCACCGGATATTGTCCACACACTGGAAACAGAGGGGACCCCAGGCTCAGAACTCATTCATCTCCACACTGGATCCCAGACCCAGCTGGGGCTCTCTCAGCCTGCAGATGGGGTCCTCAGGCTTCAAGGGCACTGTCTAGGCAAGGGCAAGGCCAACACAGCAAGCATCATTCAAATTTTGGGAGTCAAGTGACCTTGCAGGGCTGAGTTGGCCTTCTTGAGTCTGTTTCCCTATCTGTCCAGATGGGTTGGATGACTCCTGCTTTACCTGGGTGTTTGCCAAGCAGATGCATCAGACTCTGGCCACTCTGCTGCATACTGTGAGGCCAGTGCCAAGAATGAGGTTGCCCCACAGTGATCTGAACTCCCTGGGAAGCCTCTGCACCAGAGTGTGTATAGTACATGCGTCCTCTGCCCCACCCCCAGTGTCAATGCTCTGATGTTGGAGGTGGTTCCTACATTTCCAGTCTACTCATGGGGAGTGTACTTAGGAGGTTGAGGCAGGAGGATCACAAGTTTGAGACCAGCCTGGGCTACTTGTAGTGAGACTGTCTTCAAACAAAAACAAGACCCAACCAAACACAGAAAATTAATCTCGGGAGAGGGATTGCCTCTTTTCACCTTCTGGCCCTGTGTCCTGGGCTTAACATTTCTGCTGTGGGGGTGGTCCCTCCTGGATCAAGGATTTGGGGAGCTCCATTCATATCATGAATCTATGGCTTTGAGGTTGTGTGTTAGTGAAGGTCGGTGCTAAAACCACTGGGAAGTGGAAGCCAGAAAGCTGGCGCAGTGGGTGGCAGGTGCTCCCAGGCTCAGTCTCTATGTCAAAGCCAGACCCCCAAAGGAGGTAGGACACAGGGGAAGCTTTCCATCTTTGTGTTTTTCAGCCTGATTTCTCCACCACACAGAGACTTTCTTTCATGCTTATTCGGCCAGCAACTCCAGTCAGAGTGCTGTGAAGACAGCAGAGGACCTCAGGAACCTGCCAGGATGGCTCCTGAAGGGAAGGGGCTGGGTGACCCGTACTCACGGGCATCAGCGATGTGGGTAGAGGGCAACGATCTCTATAGTTCCCTTTAGGGGAACAGCCAGCACCTTTGATGACTATGGCTCACTGGGGACAGGAAAAAGCTGGGTTTGATCTCTCCATTTTCTCCAGGGCATGCTGGTTTTTTTTTTCTTCTCTTTTTTGGGGGGTAGGTGGGTGGGTGGGTAAAACTAAAAAGAATAGATTTACATTATGCACAATCCCATGTTGCCTTGGTTCTCTGTGGATTCTAGAGGGGCAGGTTGCCAGAAGACCTAGCCACCGGATGTCCCCTGGACCTTGAAATGTTGCTATCCATAACGATTATGGACTGCCTGGGTGTTCAGTTCCGTTTAGAGTTCCACAAGATGAAAGCGAATCCTTGGTACTTTACTACTGCTCTTCATCTGGAAGATTCTTTCAACTCTTCTTTTTCCTTCCAGTGCTGGAGCTCAAACCCTGCTTTGAAGCAGGGCACAGAGGTAAGAAGGTAGGGAGCTGGTGAGGGAGGCCCTCGAGGCACACTGGGTCCCCTACCCTCTCTAAGTCCCCGAGGCACAGGGACAAAAGCCTGTCTTTTCCTGCTGCCAGTGGCTCTCCTCACATGCACGCACAGCCCTGCAGAGAGCATGGCCACAGGCAGACACCCCGGGATGGGGCCTGGCTCCTGCCTTTATGTGACTGCCCTTTGTCTTCTGGAGCACAAGCCAGGAGCTGCTGAGAGCCCTGTTACTCATTCATTCAACTTCTCACCTCTTGTACTCCTAGTGCCCAAAGGCCTTGGGCTACTGACTTTCCAGGAGAAGCCAATGCTTCCTGCTTAATGGTTAAATGGGAGTTGGTTGGGGGGGGGGGGGGGGCACGGCGACGACTCCATTGCTTGCAACAGGCAAAGGACAAAACTCCATCCTTCTCTGGTATATGAATGCGGGCTTGGACTTCAGGAGGCTGCTGCCCTGGTTCTCTGGAGTAGGTGCCGCAGTGTCTCAGGACTGTGGAGCTCTCTCTTCAAGCTCTGCTGTATCTAACACTCTTGGATGGTAGCACCAAGACATTTTAGTGTGTGTGCATATAAGCACTCAGAGATCAGACTGAAGCGCAGACACCCTTGCCATTCACGGGTCTGGGGAGCGGGAAGCAGAGCCTGGCAGTCTAAAGGGTTTAAATCTACACTGCAAATGGTATGCATTGGCTGACTCAGCCTGGGCTGAGACCATGAACCTGGAGGGTTCTGGTCTTCTCTAATGCCCCTGTGCCCTGTCCATCTAGGTCCCTCACCAGGTCAAACATGAAGGGACAAAGTGCTCTGAGGAACGGGCAGTGCTGCTCACCTGGCTGATGTCACTGGTCCACGCTGCCTTCTCTTGCCTGGATGAGGCCACCAGGATGACCGTGAAGGGTGGGGACTCCTTTGGCTCCACCCCGATCTTAAAATCCAAGTGGTCTATGTCCTGGGCAGTTCCTTTGGCTTTTCCAGTGACAAAACATGAAGTTAGCAGAGTGTGGGTGGGTGCTTGTGAGCTGGGTAAGGCTCTCCGGTCCCTGACTTAGATGCCAGGAGAGGTTCCAGGAGGGCGCCAGGCCACTGGTTGCTCCTTTTGGAATAGTGTTTTATGATTTTTGGCTAGGTGAGAGTCACCGTTTCAAACAGGGGAGAACAGAGGATCTGGCATGCACAAGTAATTTACAGGCACACAGATTCTTGATTCAGAGCCTGAGGCGCTGAGTAGTAATCCTCTGCCTGCACTGCGCCAATGGGTTCTGAGCCAGGACTCAGCTAAGTCTCCTAGCAGGGAGGCAGCTACGCCAGGGTGAGATGGGGCCTCACAAAGCAGCCCTTCCGCTGACACCTGGGACAAGCGACATTAACCTCTGAGACTTTCATGGACTGGGCTGAACGTTCAGTTTGGTTTACAGCTCCCCAGTATGAAAGTAAATCCCAGGTATTTTATTACTGATATTCAACTCTCTTTCTCTTTTCTCTTTTTGGTGCTGAGGATCAAATCCAGGGCACCACACATGCTAGGCCCTGGAACTCTTGAGAGCTGTTTACTGGAAAGAATAAGTTCCCAGCGTCAAGATCTTCTCTGTAGGGGCACACAATTGTGAGCTGTCTGCCCCAGTCTGGGCTGTTCTCTTGCCTTTTTACATCTGGGTCAGGGTCTACCATATTTCAGCATCTGCTCTTCCTGCCAACCTTGATGAATGGGTGTGTGTGTGGTGTGTGTGTGTGTGTGTGTGTGTGTGTGTGTGTGTGTGTGTGTAGGCATGCACACACATAAGCAGCTTGTCCACTGACCTTCCTCCTCTGTGTTTTCCGGTTCCTCCATTAAGGTGCAATCGATGAGGGATATGACTCCATTCTGAAAAAGAGCAGCAGGCACCATTTTGGACCAGGAGTCCACGCGCTAGAGCAGGAGTCCCAGAACATCAGGGTTGGAAGGGCCTCTACACCAAGCAGCCACACGTCCACGTATGTGTGTGTATGGAGCATATGCCGAGTGGGCATTTTGCTTTGCAAGCAAGGGACCTTAGCTTCCTTTTACAAGGTCTGCTGAGGTGGGTGAAATGAGATTTTCTCAGGGAAACCAACCCTGACGGAGGCTGAGGTCAAACTGTGGGCAGATAGGCCAGAATCTGTCCTGTTGGGCTTCTTCTTGCCACGTCGGCATCTCTGAGAATTACATCATACCCCCTGTTCTTGGCCAATCCCTCCGGTTACCAAGGGTGAAAAAGCCCAGCTTTATGGATCCATTATCTGTGTTGCTCACCCCATTTTATGGATTCGGAAATGAGGTCAGAGAGGTTAAATGGCTCCTCAAATCCCCTGGTCAGCTCTTGGTGGGGTCCTGAGGAGGCCTCAGGGCCCTTGTTCCAGTCCCAGGTCAAGAGCTCATTTCCTGTTATCAGGCGTAAAGGAAGGACACCTCTCCCCTTGACACTAGTGAGAAGGGAATCCGGCGGCAGTCTTCCTACGCGCAGGCGCTTTGGAAGCCCCTTTTGAAAGTGGAAGCAGAATCCCCTTCCTCTTAGGTGGGGGCTGGGTTCAGCTGGGGTGTGGCTTGGTGGTAGAGCGCTGGCCTAGCATGCAGAAGGCCTTGGGTTCCAACCTCAGCATCTTCCACTGAAAGTGGAAGCAGAACCCTCTTCCTCTTAGGTGAGGGCTGGGCTGCGATCAGAGTGGAATAAAAAGAAGCAAACGAAGGCCTGTGGCTCTGGGGACTGCAGCCTCCCGCTTGGCCCCTGGTTCTCTCCTGGATCACCTGTCTCAAGGGAGGCGGGTGCCGTGTTGTGGGGAGAGGTGAAGAACCGAGCCATCTTGGTTGGGTAAGCTTTTAGAACACCGTGGCCTGGCAAAGAATGCTGCTGCAAACTGGTGCCCTGGGCCAAGACCACTTCGAAGTCGCTCCTGACCTCCTGACCCACCCACCGCAACTGGGAGGCAGGAAGTGTTTGTCCTACAGTAACTGTTGTTAATATAGCCCCAGCCACATGACTGATCTATATATGAAAATACTGGGCAGGCTGCCCACTTTTTTTGTTACGAAACTCAGAATTTATTTTTAACTGCTTGCCTGGATTCTTATGTTGTCATGCTATAGAGGCTGCCACTTGTGAGGAGAGCATTGGAGGGGATTCCCAGGCCCTGGGGTCTGCTTCTTGCTTCCTTCTCTAGTGGCCTTGAGAAGTTCCCAGGACTTTTGAACAGTAACCTTGCCCTGTGATTTCAAGGGGCTTAACAATCTTGGAATCCCCGATCCCACCAAGCTCTGGCATTCCCTTATTCATTTGCGGTGCTGAGGTTGGAACCCAAGGCCTTCTGCATGCTAGGCCAGCGCTCTACCACCAAGCCGTACCAGCTGACACGCTCTTACTGGCTGGTTTTACTTCCTTTATCTTATCTGTGAACTGGGAAAGTGATAGTGTCTGCCTCAGAGGCGTTCTAGGAATTAAACATGTGTGAAACGCTTGGGACAGGGACTGGACATGGTAATCATTATTCGAGGCCTTGTGGTCAGTTATAGGACAAGCTCATTATCATAGGATTTACAATGACTGTTTGCTTACTGAGAATTTATTGTACCAGGCACTGGGACTCCCTCAGCATTCTTGGGGAGTATTTTCGTATCCATTATGCAGATAAGGAAATTGAGGCTTAGTGAGGTCACATGACTGGTCTGAGGTCTGCCTGGTACGCACACAGCAGCGCTCTGATCCTGTGTTTTTCTAGCAGCTATCCTTCAAAAAATTATTTTTTTATTTTGTGTGTCTGTGCATGTGTATGTGTGCATGTAACATGTGTGTGCAGGTAACATGTGTTCAGGTGCCCATGGAGGCCAGGGGAGGAAGTCAGATCCTTTGGAGCAGGAGTTACAGGCAGTACTGAGCCATCTGACGTGAGTGCTGAGAACCAAACTGGAGGGTTTAGAAGAGCAGCAGGGACTCTTCTCTGCTCGGCCATGTCTCCAGCTCCCAGGCTAACCATTTAAAACTCAAAAATAAACAAATGAAAATAACCAACATAAAAACATGAACTTCCAGCCTCAGATCAAGAAACTGCCATAGTGTCTCGAGTGCAACCTGCCCGTGCTCACCCCTGCTCACCCACTGCTGAGGGACAGGAGACCTGACCCTCCCGACCTGGCCAGAGACATCTGGAGTGGTACTGGGGGCTAACAATTAATGAAAGCCTCCCTTGACACATAATTTGGTTGGAGCTAGAGTGTTTAATATTTGTAAATTAATTTCTCCATGTGCAGCCAACCAGCTAATTTGTTGACATGTTAACATAAGCAGGGTATTCCCCTGAAGCCAGCGCTTGATCTAATAGCTCAACAGGAGGCTACGGACCAGGCATCCAGGTCCCCAAAGGAAGGGCTTCCCGGATGCTCTCACTTAATTAAGGGCACCTTCTGTCCCTTCCTTTCCAGGCTGCCTCATGTTCACATTTGAAATCCCATCTGCTCGCACGGGATGGACATGGTGTGGGGAGAGATGGCATCGGAGAGAGACGAGGTCTTGAAATCAGCACAGCAAATTCATAGGCACTGTCAGCTCACCGCCTGATCCCTCATGCAATGTTTCTCTGGGGACAGTTATCTGTTTAACTGATGAACACAGGGCAAGGACATTTGCAGGGTCACATGTGTGACAGGGTTGGGGCCTGTTGGGGTTCAGAGTAATGGGACCAGCAGTGAGTTGTGTTGGGGAGCAGTGGTTGTGGCCTGTGCCCCAGTCTTTACAGCAGAGCTGCATTTGACTAGGTCTCAGGGACCTGAAGGAGGTTTGCCAGAGAAGAGGGAAGGCTGTGCAGTTGAGTACACAGCAGGAACGAAGGCCCTGGGGTCTGAGATGCTTCTTCCCTTCCACCTACTGGGATGGGCCAGGCCGCTGAGCTCAGGCTACAAGAGGGCACATGTGGTGACAACAGTTCAGCAGCCTCCCGGGGTCACCTGACCCGAGGAAGGCTTCCTGTGATCGAGGAGGGGGTGTCTGAGAATCTTTGCCTGGAGATGACAGGGAAAGATGCTATGTGTTGCTCTAATCCTAGGCTGGAGGGGACCCTCCACTCTGTCCACTCTCCCCAACACCTCTATCCACACACCACACACACAGGCCCACACGTGTACACACACACACACACACACACACACACACACACACACACACACACTTGCACAATCACATGCTCATACTTGTGCCTTGAAGGGCTCGTTAGAACTCCTGGTCAGCTGTGGGAGTCTCTGGGGCCTGATGCTACCTTCCCAGTTCCCATGATCTCTTCAGCAGGAGATACCAGGGGGTGTTCAGCTCATTCCCACCCTGAGCTTAGCCAAGGTGTGTGTGTGTACAGGTGTGTGCTCACATACTCACAAAGGCCCACCTAAGTGCTTCAGCACCCTACTGGACCATCAACCTCCAGCCCTGCAGTGAGGGCGGTGCCCGTGCGCCTGAGCCCTGGGCCTTGCCGCTCCTCCCCCATGGACTTACCTTGGTCAGGTGCAGTTTCCCTCCGGAGCCTCTGGTGCAGATGATGAGGTGCTTGGAGAACAGGAAGCATTGCCGTTCACCCTCTTTCTTAAGGGACAGAGATCCCAGGCGCCCCCTGGTGATCTTGCCCTTTTCTGACATGGGCACCTGGATGAGGGAACCTGTGGGAGGAGGGGTGGTGGTGAGGAGGCTCTGAGCCTGTCCTCAGATGACACCAATGACATCACCCTCTGGCCCAGCCTTGGAGGTTGAGGTGTGGCTACAAGTGGGCGTGGAGCAAGGCAGTCCAAATACCCTGGTTACTCTTCCCCGCCCAGCCTCAGAACCAGATGGTAGGGATAAGGAGAGCCCTATACCTCCCAGCCAGGGACCAAGGTCTTGGCAAGCAAAGGGGCTTCTAAAAGAAATGGAGAGCTGGGCTGAGGTCTGCAAATGTCACTGAACAATGAAGCTGAACAAATGGGGAGCTGGAGGCGGGCTCTTGTGGATTAGCATGATATACTGCATAGCTGTGGCCACAGCAGATATCACCAATCAATCACGGCACTTAGCTTCCGAGCCCAGACTGAGCACGTGATCCTCAGTGTACTGCAAGAGAAAGCCATTGCTGGCTGTCTCTACTCTGGGCATCCCACACAACACATGCCCTCCTACAGGTTCCTTCCTCATTGTCCTCACGGTCCTCAGGGATCAGGCACTCGGGCTCCTCAGCATGGATTGGATTGGGCTCAGTTCCCAGCTCCTCTCCTCTCTGCCACTGTCTCTCCTCCATAGCATAGTGGTCATCCTAGACCGCATTGCCCAGCCTCTTTGGGAAAGCTCCCTCCCTTGACTCCCCTGCCCTGCGCTGTGTCTGCTGCATCTTGGATGTCCATTGGTGACAGGTCTTCTTCTGCAGGGTGGGGTTGGCTCCATTCTCTGGGGACCTTGGAACCCTATGGGGACCTGGTGCACACAGGGCAGGGGTCAGTGTTGGCTATGTGGCTAAAAAGTGGGAAGGGCTGGGAGGGGCTCCAGGTCCTGCTCCAGTACAGAGGAGAAAGTGCTTCTGCTGGGTAATAGAGTAGCTTCTGGGTCTCTGTGTGTGTGTGTGTGTGTGTGGGGGGGGGGGCAGGGACTGCCTACTCTAGGAGGGGCTTCTTTCCAGGGTCTTCTTCAGAAAGGCAAAAAAAGCTCCAGGAAAATGCTTCTGGCATTGATCATGTCTTGCGCAACTCAGGGAGACAGAGAGAAAGCTGTCTCTGGGCTTCCTGTGTCACAGGTGACTCCCAGGAAGGGCCTTGGGGGCCACATGCAGGCGCCATCCATGAAACATAATGGACATCAGGCCCTCCCCAGAGGCCAGATTCTGAGGTATAGACCATTGTGAGCCTCTCAGAAGGTTATTTACTAGTTAGAGAACTCCAGCACTGGGTAGAGGGGATGCTGGACATCTATTTTGGGGCAGAGATCCATCTGAGGCACACAAGCAAGTGCTGAGTTTCCTATAGAACATGAAAGCTGCATGAGGTGACCTTCAAATGCATCACACCTTTGATGTCTCTGAGCCGTCAGGAGTTCAACAGCCATCCCTTCCAGACCCACTCTCAAGGTAAGCAGGAGCCGGAGGTGAGAAGACCCACCTCAGTGAGAACAGCTGTGCACTGGCTTCTCTCCCAACACCTGCCATTCCCAGAGCCAGTCACTCTCTGTCCTCATCCTGTCTCCCACGTTCTCCCCAAAGAACAGGCCAGTGCTTACAACAAAAAGCCCAAGGCTAATCGAGGTAGTAGACTCGTCCTTGGCATGAGGGAAACTGAGAAGCATTAGTATCTTCAGGTGTGTCTATAGGTCCCGCTTCTGTGTAGAGCTATTGCACTCCCAGAACACTCCACGATCACAGTTGCAGCCCAGTCCCCTGGGGATGTCCCCAAGTGCTGCCCTTCTTCCAGGGACCCCTCGATGGGGGCAGAGAGCAGCTGCCCTACCTTGTCGCACAAAGGTCTGGCTGGTATCAAGGAGGATCTCACAGCCCTCGATGATCATGCGCTCGATGGCCAGGTTTTTCCGGATGTTCTCTGTCTCACTGACTTCATCGTGCATGATCCTGGGAGACAGAAAGTAAGAGACATGCTGTCCCACTTCCAGGGAGGGGAACGCTGTGCTCTCTGGGCAGACCTAAGAAGAGAAGCTTGGGGGTGGGACCTGGAGTTAAGAAGGTGAAGGCGATGTGTATCTATTGAGTGCCAATTGTATGCAAGACACTGCCCAGGCTCCATCTGGTTTAATACCCTGGCAGCCCAAGGAGCCAGGTGCTTATTTTAGAAAAAAACTGAAATGGAAACTGGCAGCTAGGAAGCAGGCCAGTCATATTTCAATGTTGAACATTGGAAGATAGAGAGCAGGTCCAGCCCAGGAGGGAGATGTGAGCCCAGGACACCCTTTTTTGTTACTTATGTCTCACGATACACTATTCTCATCCATACATCAAGCAAAGTTCATTACCCCTGTATTCTTTTCCTCAGGCTGTCCTCTCCCCCTTGCTGGGAATTGAACTCAGGGTCTTGATGATGGTAGTCAAGGGCTCTACCATTACCGCTATGCCCTAGATCTTTCTCCCATATCTTTGTATGGATGCACTTCTAATGTTGCATGGGCCCTAGACTGGCCAGATTTGGGAGCTCCTGCCAATTCTGTTGACTCAGGGAAAGATTGGCCTTCACCTTCTATCTACCTGCCTTCTTGGAGGAAAAGAATTTGTTCCTCTCTCTCTTCTGCAACTCCCAGAGTGTCCAGGAGATGGCGCCATTTAATTACTTTGGGAAAAAAAGGTGCATGAGGAAAAAAAGGGTTCTCTGGCACTTTTGCCCTGGTGGGTTTCCAGGCTTTTTAGGAAAGCAAAGAATACTTTTGGGAAAGGGAGAGCTCTGGAAGAATACCCCACCCACTTCAAGAAGATCACATCTTATGCTTTTCCGCCGATTTTTGTTCTGTTTTGTTTTTTGAGACAGGGTGTCTTTGTGTAGCCCTGGCTGTCCTAGAACTTTTTCTGTAGACCAGGCTGGCCTCAAACTCACAAGGATCCACCTGTCACCAACAGGACTGGTGACCATGTATGGTTTAACCTCAGGGAAGCAGACGCTGCTTGGGTGGGCTCTAAGATGAGCAAATCACTCAAGCCTGGAGCCATCCGACCCTCAGTTCTCCATGTGCAGAATGCTGGGGGAGAGGTGAGCATCAGCGTTTCAGTTTACCGTTTTCCTGGTCTAGGACTCCCTTTTTAGCTCAAACTTTCCGGGGCATCTAGACTGCCTTGATTCTCTCGAAGCCTCAGTTTCCCCTTTTCCTTTTCAGAAATGTGTTTCTTAGAAGCCCAATCCTGGAGATGGGGTCCTGTCTGAGGAGTAGCCGGTGGCAGAGAGAACATTTCTCATGGTGAGGGTGAAGTATTGCTGGGGAATGTTTGATACAAAGGCAGGAAGGGGCGACTCCACAGTGGCAGGCAGACGTGACAAGAGCAGCCTACAGCTGGTCAGTGCAAGTTCTGCTTCAGATGGAGTTCGGGTCCCATGCGCACACCTGGCTAGGGAGCTCTTTGAGGGGCCTTGAGGGACTGGAATTGACGGTCTGTGTTATCACAAAACAAAGGCCTGGTCCTTAGAGATAGTGCAGCTGGGGGTGTTGGAGAAGTATAGTTCTGAGAATAAATAGTTGGTGTTGACTGGAGAAGGAGGTGTGGTCCCTAGCCTGGGTAGAGCTATCTGATGGAGGAGGTGTGGTTCTTAGCCTAGCCTGGGCAGAGTCTGGCTATCTGATGGTTTTAGTCTTGCCAGGACTCCATGGAGGGAGGGTGAGAGAACACTCCAATGTGCCCTTAGGGCTGGGCTCAGGTGAAGGTTCAGGTGTTGGAAGGAAGGAAGCATAGGATGCATACCTAGGTTTTGGCCAATGACCTTGGCCTCTCAGGCCATCTGCGCCCCTGTTTGCTCCAGGACCTGCATCTCTCAATGATGAAGAACCTCAGGGGGCATTCTAGGCATTTTTTTCCCCTGGGGAGGGAGGAGTATGTAGGATTTGGTTCCTGAACACGAAAGACAGAGGGAGGGTCCTTTTTTCCTGCCATTGGCTTTGTCCCTCTGCGGTCACACCTTGATACTACGCCTACCCTGGTCCTCCCTCACGTCCAGTAACTCAGCAGGGTCTCAGAAGGATCAGGCTAGGCAGTCCGTCCTCTGCCTGTCCTACTGCCTAGCTTGGAGCTGAGACCTGCCTGGCCAGCCTTTGCTGGCTTCAGGAAGCTGAGCCTCTCTGCCCCTCACCCCTAATCCCCTTTGTCTGACCACAGGGCCCATCTCTTGTTGTGACCTCCACCCAGGCTCAATCCTAGGCTCTGGTGTCTTCCTGTTTGAAGTCACTCCTGGGGCAATCTCATAGCACTGGGATTGTCACTGAACTGATGACAGATCTCCATTTCAGACTCTAGAGCCCTCCTTTCCGGTCTCCTCCACTTGGGTATCTAATGGTATGTCATGTTCCATGTGATCCCCAGGCAAGCTCTTGACCTGCTAACACACCCTGGCTTGGTTAAAGCCCCACATGTCTGGAATCACTAGTCTTTTCTCATTCCCCCACCCAGCCCACTGGGAAATCCTACTAGCTCTGTCTTTAAGCTCCAGTTCCAATCTATACCACTTCCCACCTCCCTAGAACCTCGGTGGGGTGTGAAAGGGCCCCCCCTCCTGTGGCTGCTCTTGCAGAGGAAGACCCCCATGGACTGTAGACAGAAAGGGGAGTAGGTGACGGGTCTGGACTTGAGGACTAGAGTGTCTGAAATGGCCACAGTGTCTCCACCTGCCACTTCCTACTGTTGATGGGAACCTGGGCACATTAGGGCTAGTCACCTGGGACCCCCAGTCTTGGGGAGCTCTCATCACCACAGTTTTTGCTTGGTTTTTTGAGACAGGGTCTCATGGATTCCAGGGTAGCCTTGAAATTTGAACTTCTGATCCTCCTGCCTCCATTTCGAAAGTGCTGGAGTTAACAGGTTACCATACCTGATTTTATGTAGTACTGGACACTGATCACAAAGCTTCATTCATGCTGGACAAGCACTCAGTCAACTAAGCTATATCTCCAGCCTTGTTTTTGTTTACAGCATTAAAAAAAAAAGATCTTATGTAGCTTAGGTTGGCTTCCAACTTGCATGGAGTAGAGGCTGGCTTTGAACATCTGACCTTCCTACTTCTGCCTTCTGAGTACTGGGATTATAGATGTCTAGCACCATACCTGGCTCACTACAAGTTTGACTGAAAAAGGGGAAACAGGTGTGGAAAGTTGCTGCGAACTCCTTCTTGAGGGTGATGGGTCCACTTGGATGCACAGGGCTCTGCAGACTCCATCTATGCTGGGGACGGCACCCAGCCCATGCTGCTTCACCCAGGCCTGTGTGTAAGCTGCACAGGTCAGTCAGGGGACCCAGTTCTTTGAAGTGAGGCAGGCTATGCCTTCCTTCAGATCCCCTCCTGAGGAAATTCTCAGCCCTGCCCTGCCCACCCTCTGCACCGTGGCCAGGCACTCACCTGGACAGTTCCTCTAGTTTGGATTTGGCATAGTCCAGGCTGTTGCGCTCCACGTGCTCATGAGGTGTGTGGGCCAGCAGCTCGTGGAGTGTCAGGATATACCTGGGGATCTGTGAGTGGCAGGGGACACGGAGGGACAGAGGCAGAGAGATGAAGGATGGGTGGAAAGACAGAGAGGGACAGGGAGCCAAGGAGGGGCAGGGAAAGGGGGTAGAGACAGTGACGGCAGACGAGAGATGTGGGGCAATGAGAGAGAGAGACAGAAGGCGAGACAGAGAGGCAAGAATGGTCCTTTGAACCCAGCGGGCTGAGGAGGAAAGCAGGCTGCGTCTGATCTGCCCGGAGAGCCAGGAAGATAGGGACCCCCGTGGGACCGTCTCCAGGGACTGCCCCCTCACCTTCCCCACTGCTGGAGTGGACAAGTACATGCGTGGTCAGCTGGCTCTCCGCCTGCCGGGGTTGTTGGGGACTGTGTCCTGCCAGGGGAGCCCTCCGTGCCCCCGCCCCAGCCTGCTCCCGTGAAGGTCATGGCAGCCACCTGGAACATAGGGTAGGTGAGGAAGGTCTCCAGCGTGCGCTCCTCACAGTCTGGCTTGGCCTCGTACTGCTTGAGAAGCTTGTCAAAGTCCCGGTTCTGCTTGCAGTGAGCTAGGATCTGGAGGCTGTACTGGTGGTTGCGGACGAACTCCTGGTAGATGTTGAGCATGGGCAGCAGGATGTCGAACAGGTCGGCTGCGGGGCAGGTGGGGTCAGCAGGCAGGAGGGACCCTGGGGCTAGATATCCCCAGGTCTTTGGCCCATTGGCCTACCCAGAGAAGCTATGTGCCGGGTTCAAATCCCCACTCCAGAGAGATCCCTCTTTGGGGGTTACACATGCTCTACCCATGGGCAGAGGTGGGTTCACAGAGGTGGGCTGTCTTGTGGCAGCTGTGACTGAAGGGGCTTAGAGAGATGGTGCAGAGTCCTATACCCTGGTGGCTGTGGCTCCCAGGGGGCCTGCTCTGGGAATCATCTCCAACTGAAGAAAACAGCTTTGGTATAGATCACACTTTATCTCATGGTGGGTCCATGTGGAGTGTGGCCAGCCCCTACTTCAACTCCAAGTGTCTCTGTAAGAGGCAGGGTGTGTGTGTGTGTGTGTGTGTGTGTGTGTGTGTGTGTGTGTGTATACATGTTCATGTGTGTGGGTACATGTGTGTGTGAGCACATGCAGTGCACCTCTCTGGGTTTGTATGTGAAAGCCAGAGTTCAACCTTTGGTGTCATTCCTTAGGAGGCATTGGCCTTGTTTTCTGAGATAAGGTTTTCTTACTGGTCCCCAGGGCTTGCTCATTAGGTTAGGCTGGCCAGAAAGCCCCAGGGATCCACCTGTCTCTGCCTCCCCATCACTGACTGGGAATATAATTGCATGCCATTGAGCCCAGCTTAAAAAAAAAGTTTATTTATTTTTACTTTATATATGTGTTTTGTGAGGTCTCAAAGAAACCGGGACAAATGGCTAACTGAGGTGCCTATTAACATACCATAGTGGACACTGTCCTGCCAGATTCCCCCAGCAAGGCAGCTATCCATTACAGAGTCTTTATTCTTCACAGTACTGCTCACCCCAGCCCCTACCATAACCACTACTCACCCCAGCCCCTACCTTAACCACTGCTCACCCCCAGCCCCTACCCTAACCCGCTGCTCACCCCCAGCCCCTACCCTAACCACTGCCCACCCCAGCCCCTAACCTACCCAGTGCTCATCCCAGCCCCTACCCTAAGCACTGCTCACCCCCAGCCCCTACCCTAAGCACTGCTCACTCCAGTCCCCACCCTAACCACTTCTCACCCCCAGCCCCTACCCTAACCACTGCTCACCCCAGCCCCTACCCTAAAGGTCTCCAGGCCCCGAGATTCATGTCCCTCCCCTCCGTTTCTCTTCCCTATATAACTCAGCCATTTTTGGCTGAGTGCTCTCTTGGCTCCTGGCACCTCTCTTGACCCATTCCTCTTTCCTCTCTCCTCTTCCTCTCTCACTCTCCCCTCCTCTCTCTCCCCTCATGGCCCAGTTCAGTCTGGGCCCTTCCATATGTCTGTTTTCTCTTTATATCGATGATGAAAACCTTCTCTCAACCATACCTGGGAAGAACCATGTCCTCATTTTTCACTCCTGTTTTGCCTATATGAAAATATACCATGTGCATGCAGTACCCGTTGTGGCCAGAAGGGGGCATCAGATTTTCCCTGGAAACTGGAGTGACAGCCTTCCATGTGGGTGGCTGAGGACAGACCTGAGTCCTCTGTAGGAGTTGTAAGTACTGTCTCTCCTGAGTCCAGCTGTTTATGTGACTTCTGGGGATTGAGCTCAGGCCATCATCCCTCAGAGGCAAGCACTTTACTGACAAGAATTATCTCCCCTGCCCCACAAAGTAGGGTCTTTGACACGAGAAGTATCTCAAGAGTGGAGGGAACTTGGAGAGTTACATCTGGTCCCGGCTTTGACTGTGACTCTGCGGCCTCAGTGACTCTTCCCCTCTGTAGTGAAGGGAACACTGGTGTCTACCTTTCCTTACCAAAGTGAGAATGTGAGAAAGCGACAAAGAAAAAAAAAAAAAAAAAAAGGCCAGCCTGGCACAGGTGTGGTACAATGTAAGGGTGCAGCTGTGCCTCATTCCTGGGACCCAACAGCGCCGCTTTCTAGGCAACAGAGATAAAGCCACAGCCTTTGTCCTAGTAATTCAATTTTTGGAAACCTATCCCATGGAAATGCCCCTAAAAATTTGCAACAACTTAGAGCCAATAAGAAGAGCTAGCTGGTTGCTTGGATCATGATATGGATAGTTAAGAACACTGGGACATTATACGGCCACCAAAAAACTCAGCGTGAGAAAACTGGGCATGAAGAAAATGCTCCACCTACAATGGTATTCTAAATGTAACAGCATCGCCAGGTGTGGGGGTGCACGCCTTTAATCACAGCACTCAGGAGGCAGAGGCAGGCATATCTCACTCTACCAGTTCAAGTCCAGCCTGGTCTACACAGCAAGTTCCAGGGCAGTTAGGGATACAATAGAGACCCTGCCTCAAAACAATAAAAAGATAAACAAACAAACCAACCAAAAAAGCAATTATGCTGATAATGTAAGCATCTAATGTAAGCAAACAAATGGAATGTCTGCTATAAAAAGCTTCAAACTGTTTAGCTCACTAAGTTTTCAGTTATGTAAAAATGGGAAAAGAAAATGCTCACTCTCAGTGTAGGGAAATGTGCATGGGAATACCACAGTGTTTGGGGTGATTGGACAGAATGACAGGTGACATTTTTAAGTGTTTTCTACTTTTCTGGAGTTTGAGACATTTCTGAGCGGGCATGTTGTCTTTTGAAAGGGAAAGTGGATACGCAAAGGGAAAGACCTCATTCTCTCCTAAGAGCACATAGTGGTTGTTCTCCTCTCAGGGACTCTGGGGTCTACAGGGTGCCTCACTGTGATGATCTAGAAGGACAGAGTTGGTTCCTGCCCCGAGGATGGGGTCCCAGGGGGTTGGCTACTCACCCAGCACCAGGGTGGGCCAGCTGGAGATGCGGGCCTTCAGGCCTTGGTAGAAGATCTGATGTAGGAACATGATGGTCTCACTGAAAGAAAAAGCACCAATGAGCTCCTGCCTGGCCTTCCTACCTCCCTGGGGAGGACCCTGCTGAACACATTAGTGCCGTACCAAATGTGGGGCCCTTGGTAGGAACTCTAAACTTAAATGGCAGAGCATCAACCCTCCCACAAGCCCCTCTGACAGGGGATGCCAGCCCACGGAGATGGCAGAGAAGAGCTGCTGCGGCCAGCAGCCAGCTGTGCACCAGAAGCCCTCCCTGCTGTCTCCCCTTAACTTCCTCTGCCTCAAGGTATTGGAGAGACCTGGAGACTACTGAACACCAGCCACTGTTGGTGGGAAGAGACGGCGCTTGGGATCCAGACACAGAATGAAGCTCATGTCGGACTTAGACTCTTTGTTAGCTGTGTGTCCTCCAGCAAGTCACCTGACATCTCTGGAGTCCAAATCCTTCTGTGTGTAATAGGCTGAAGTGAAGACTCTCCCACAACAATGGGGTTGCTCAGGTGCCTGCTAGACAGTGGGTGCCTAGCATCGCCCAGATCTCCACTGCCCTCTCATTGCCTTCATTCTTGGGAGTCTAAGCCTGGGGGCTGAAAGACTCAGAGCTCTGGGCTTTGTCACCATGATGCACACTCTGGGAGCATGGCCTAGGCAGCCTAGCTCTGGCTAGACCTGTTCCCTGAATGCTCCCTGGGAGTCACTTGGCCTTGGCCCCTCCCCCGTGTCCTTCCCCCTTTCCATTTCTTGTCAAGTGGCAGACTCCACAGCACAGCCCAAAGCCTCTGTCTCAGGTCAAGTTTATAGCAGAAGAGAAACTAAGCAACAGGTGGCAACTGCTCCCTCCTGAGGGCACCTGTCCTTCCTACCCTTCCTTCTGGTTCCTCTGTGCTCACAGCTGTCTGCCAGCTCCCACTAAAGGAGATGGGGGGGGGGAATTCTCAAACATGGAGGAGACCTGGAGGGGTCACTCCATTTAGGATTCTGGAGGGAGAGGGAGACTATAACACTTTTTCCCTTGAGTCAAAGGCAGCACAAGGTCCGTCTTTCCCCCTTTCTGGAATGTTCTTATCTTTTTTTTTTTGGCCCATTTTCTAGGCTCTGTTCTCTGCTTGGATGTGTTCTCCCTCCTAGCAATTTGTGATCTGAAGGGTCTTGCTTTGTCAACACTGCCTGAGCAGGGGAAGAGGTGGAGGGAGCAGTGAGCAGCAGCGGGTGTAGAGCAGGGCCCATGGACAAGGGTCCTGAGCAGGTCTGAAAGGTCCTGTGCAGGACACAGACACAGGGACGGTAGGATGTACATAAGAAATATGGGTTAATTTAAGTTGTAAGAGCTAGTTAGTAACAAGCCTAAGCTATCAGCTGGACATTTATAATTAATAATAAGTCTCCATGTCATTTACTGGGGAGCCAGGCTGAAGAAAAGCTCCACCTACAGGCTTCCGTCTAATGTCTAGTTAACCCTCAAACCAGGTTAAGAACGTTGGTTTTCAACATGGGAAGACTCTTGGATACCAAGAGACCAGCCTGGGGTGCATAAGAATGCATAGGAAAAGAAAAAAAAGAAACCTGATCTGCAGTAGATGGCAGGATGGCTGGAGACTTTCAAGTTTCCTGAGGGAGCCTTGTATCTACATCCCGTCATATGGCACTGGGTGCTGCTGCAGCCAGAGTCCCTGGGAAGCCACTTCAGGCAGCCAGAAGACACATACCAGACACCCGGGCATGCACCCAAGAGGAAAGGAAGCTCCTTAGATCCCAATACTGCACAGGCCAGTGTAACAACAAACCAGGAACATCACGAAAAGGATGGTAAAACCAGTTTGAAGGCATTGCAAGGGGTGGATCAACAGCATACAGCAAAACAAACAAGCTAATTAATCCAGTCATGAAATTGTTTTCCACCCTCAATGTTTGTTACAAGTTCTATTTCCACTACTCTTTAGTCTAAATGTGCAGTAATGTGATGTCTGTATGTGTATGTATGGTGTGTATTTGGTATGTGCACACCTGTGTGTGTCAGAGCATGAGCCCATGTGCATGTGTGTGGAGGCCATAGGAGAATGTCCTGCTTTATTTAGCACTCTCTGCCTTATTCCTTTGAGGCAGGGTCTCTCACTGAGCCTGGAGCTGGGCTGGCAGCCAGCAAGCCTCGGCAATCCTTTTGAGTCTGCCCCCTATAGCATTGGAGTTAAAGGCATGTGCAGCCATGTCAGCTTTTTTTTTTTTTTTTTTTTTTTTTTTTTACTAGTGTTAGGGATTTGAATTCAGGTCCTCATGCTTATGTAGCAAGTGTTCTTGTCCACTGAGCCATTTCCCTAGCCTAAGTATGATGCCTTAAAAATCCACACACTCTGAGAAACATTTCCTTGCTGAAAGATAGTTGCCTGAACCTTCAGCAAGCCAGTCTTGTTGGTGGAGGGTCTTGCAGCAACACTAACCATGACTAACGAGGTGGCTGCTAATGGTTGGGGTGGCTGAGGTGACTTCTTAAAATAAGACAACAGTGAAGTTTCCCAGATCCACTGATCCCTTCTTTGTAGGACAGGCATTCTCAGTTCCATATTTTAGGTCCAGGAGAACTCTTCCAAACTTAGAACCTCAGACCTTGCTGCTGCTACCAGCCAAGTTTTCATGGTGCTCTAAATCCTTTGTCATGTTAGAGCAGTGGTTCTCAACCTTCTTAATGCTATGACCCTTTAATACAGTTCCTCATGTTGTGGTGACCCCCAACCATAAAATTATTTTTGTCGCTACTTCATAACTGTAATTATGAATTGTAATGTAAATATCTGTGTTTTCTGATGATCTTAAGTTACTCCTGGGAAAGAGCCATTCAACAGAAAAGGGGTCTCGACCTGAAGGTTGAGAACCAGTGTGTTAGAGTATCACAGGGTCTCCGTGGGTGGAAGCTGCTGGAAGACGTCACCTTCTTTGCTTATATCCTGAGATTGCAAGCCCTTCAGTCTCGTCTTCAGACTCCACTTGTGATCCGGGTTCTTTGCTGTACCCACCACACTGGTGGGTGGTGACCCCCTCTGTGGAAGTCTTGGGCGCCTCCAAGCTCCCTGTGAGAGTTGGAACCATCCCCTCCCAAACTCCTGTTAACAGCAATATCTTGTCCTTTCCCATGAATTCATGGATGCTCTTCCTGCCATCTACGATGGTGTGTGTTTTCCAGAAGCTCTTGAATTAACTTTGACCAGTTCCTGCAGAAGAATCCCCACCCTGTGGCAGCCTTACAAAAATATATTATTTAGACAACCAGATTTGAAAGTTGATATTCCTCCTTCAGGCACCAGTTGCAGAGCAGACTGTCATGTTGGCAGGCATGAGATAAATGTTGGCTTTGAATGTCTCCATCACAGCTCTGGGGTGGCCAGGTGCACTGTCAATCACTGGTACTATTTTGGAAGGAATCTTTGTTTTTCCTTAGCATTAGGTCTCAACAATGGATGTCCATATATAGATGTGCCTGGCTCCATTCACAGAGCCAGGTGAAGGAGATTCAGGTTCTTGGCAAAGCTGAACTTTAAGTGACTGCTGGCTTAGACTCCACATCTACGCCATTAATGAGACAGCTCATTCGTTGAAGTTCTGAAGCTAGGCACCAACTTCTCTGTAGCTGTGACAATCTTCCATGGAGTCGCCTGTTCTGTCTAGCTCTTTGGAGGACTGGCTGTGAAATGCAGCTGCCTTCATGGGTTATCTCTGATCCATCTTCTGGAATCTGGACAACTTACTCCAGCTTCCCATCAGCACCCGAAGCTTCCCCTTGCACTGCAAGTTGGCGGAATGATTATTTTCCATGTTGGAGGAATGATGATTACTTTCCACAGCTTCTACAGCTTTCTCACCTCTCAGCTTTCCCAGAGTTGAGAGTTGGAGCATCACTCTGGATTAGGTCATAGCCTCAGGAAATGCCTTTTTTTTTTTTTTAAGCTTCCCCCTGGACTGCTCAGAATGTCTCTCTAACAGTCACAGGACTGCTAGCTTCCTTAGCATTTGTATGTTTACTGGACCAGTACTTTTTTTTTTTTTTTTTTGGTTTTTCGAGACAGGGTTTCTCTGTGTAGCTTTGCGCCTTTCCTGGAACTCACTTGGTAGCCCAGGCTGGCCTCGAACTCACAGAGATCCGCCTGGCTCTGCCTCCCGAGTGCTGGGATTAAAGGCGTGCGCCACCACCGCCCGGCTAGTACCTTCTTTTTTTAATAAAAATATTTATTTGTATTATTTTAAGTGTCTGAGTGTGGGCATGTGCCCATCAGTGCAGGCACCTGAGGAGGCCAGAGGCATAGGATTCCCTGGAGCTAGAAGAGTTACAGGCCATTGGGAACCACCTTAGGTAGGCGCTGGGAATTAAACTTGGGTCCTTTGCAAGAGCTGAAGGAATACTTAACCACCCAGCCATCTCTCCAGCCCTGGAGTAGCACTTTTAATTCCCTTCAAGGTCTTTCCTTTGCCTTCACAACTTGGCTAACTTCACAGCTTGGCTCTCAGGCCATTCAACTTTCAGCATGCTTTTCTCACTGAGAGATGTTTTTGCTTTTGATTCAAAATTGGATGCTTAGACCGTGCTTCGCTCACATACTCAGGGACCACCGTAGAGTTATTGTTCCAAATTCAGTATTGTATCTCCGGGGAGAGGGAGGCCAGAGAGATAGAGGAATGGCCAGCTGGTGGAGCAGCCAGAACACACACGGCATTTATCATATCAAATGCACCACCTTAAGGTTCATGGCACCCCAAACAATGAAGTCATAATATCAAAGGTCACGGGTCACAGATCATCATAACCTAATAAAGTTTGAAATTCCATAAGAATTGCCAAAACGAGAGAGACATAAACTGTGTTGTTTGATGGATATGCTCTGTGAAGGGTGGTCACAAGCCTTGCATCGTGAAAAGTCACTTCTGCTTAGCACAGTGGTAGGAACACACTGCAGAAAACAAGGCATCCCTCCTCAAAGTGTGGCCTCTGAGAACTTCATCCTAACCTTACAAGCCAGAAATCACCATTGTTTCCCA